TTTTGGAACTCATATAACCTTCCCATAGCATTACCTCTATGACATGGTACAGGAGAGAAGACCTAGAGAAGCAGTTTGGGCACAGGCTTGGTTTACAAATGAGGTGGTTACAACAGTGAAAATACCAAGTCGTCTCTACAATCCATGTGTGGAGCTATCAGTAATCACTGAAGTATCGGCAATGGCAATAGGCAATGGCTCCAGCACAAATGGTTTAAATGGTTTTCTTGCACAGATACTGCCTGTGCTGCTTTTAACCTGTGCTTTTTTTTTTTACAATCACACCTACCTGTTGCTCACCCAGTAAAGACAGCATCTCCCCTTTACCCTTGGACACAAGCACTTCCTTGAGGTCCCTCAATTCCTGCCTTGACCATACACACTCCTCTATCTCATTGCCTCATTTCAGAGTCAAACCCTTAACTTCCCACTATGCCTCCAGTAAATGATTCTCCTTTTGACCTCCCCATTTCTTCCTGCTTTCTCTCCCACCACACATGTCATCCAAGGGCATCTTCTCATCCAGGCGCTTCTCCAGCCAGCTCTTCTCCCACCCGGATTGCTGATGCAGTTCATAATGGTTATTCCCTGAGTTCCTACAGTTGCTGTCTCCCTCTCCACTCTGCACCCTTTCCCTCTAAATGGTATGTCTGCTTTGTTATCCTGCAACACCTTTTCTTGTTCCTGGCAGTGTTCAATTCCATAAGTCCTGTCCGCAAATCCACTTTCTTCATTTCCACCAGACTTCATCACTCTTATCTACCACTGCTGCTGTTTCTGTGCTGACTTTCACTACCTCCTTATAGGACTATCCCTCTGTGTGAGCTGCAGCAGCACCCAGGCAGAACATCAGTCTTTCCTGGACACCTCAGGGATTTCCACATTTAATGTGCTCTAGGCAGCATAATGTTCTGACTGTACTCGAGTTACCAGATAAAGGGATAGATAGATGATAGATAGATAGTGATCTTCTGTGATACCTTTTACAAATAAAGTTCAATAAATCCACCTGTTTCCTTCTCTGAGAGACAAAGAAGAATGGAAAAAGCTAAAGAATTCCCACAGTGCTTTTTTGTTGTTGTCATTGCTTTCCTTAGGTTCTTCTAGGTAGTGTTTTACACTGTCTTTGCTCAGCCTTGCTGTCTACCTGAGGAAGGGACTGCAGCAGGGCACACTGCAACCCCAGAGCAGTACAACTGAGCCAGACCTAAGCACTACCCCTTAAAGACAAAGGAGGAGAGGAAGCCAGGAGCATTCAATCGGCCTCATCATCACTGCTGTGGATGTGGCCCATGTGGTGTCTCTGGTTTAGGGTACACATCACATGGATTCAGGTCTCCACACGGCGGCAAACCATACTCCCTCCAAATCCAACCATTTTCTGGAAATCATACGGTCCTCCAGGCAGGGAAACTAGGGTCCTGAGAGGAAAGGGCCCATGTGGAACAGGGTAAAATCATCAGGATTATGGCATCTGGGGCAGAGATGAAATGCTGGGTGGACAGGGCTGTCAACGAGGGACTCAGATGCACACAGGGAAGAGGCCAGGCTCTGGGAGTGAGTGAGCAGCCCAAGGGCTCTACTGGGCACTGTCTGCAGGGGTGATGCTGGGCTTAAAATCAGATCTGACTCCAGAGAAGGCAAAGAAACAAGCTGAACAGCAAACAAGGAAAGTATTTAGCTGTGATGGGAGAAAATAATTATTACAATGTGATGAACACAATGCACAAGGGAACCGAGCCTTCGAGACTTTGAGGACTGGTTATGTGGCAGCTGAACTTTAATTTCCTGGAGCTAATTGCAATGACACAATTCACAAGCAGCTGCTTCTCACTGTAGTTCTATGTGGGTCCAGGAATGACTGCAGAGATACCTAAACACAAGATGACATTTTAGCTCAGCAGGGAGTTTGTGAGATTTTGAATGGCAGGTTGAAAAGAAATAGTTAAAAATGCAGAGCTGTTGTTGCTATGAAAGCTGAAAAATGATGATGTCAGTAAAATAGACTTGATTAAAAGAAAAAAAAAGTTACTAACATCAGGAAGAATTTTACAGATCATAGGATTTCCTTTACTGAGAGCTGAGACTCATAGGAAAAAGTGATAAAATTCCAGAAGTAAATGAAAAGAAACAGCTGTGTCCTGAAAGGAAGGACCAGTATTATTGATTCCAAGGCAGAGCTGACAGAGCTCTCCAGATTGGAATGTTTGTGCTTTACTTTTGAACCTTTGAGGCACAGACTCTGTCATGTAGAAGCAGTATATTTAACAAAGAATGTAAGTACGCATGAATAATTAGCGTATAGTTGACATCTCTGGCTGTAGGAGGAGCCATTGTGTCTGGAAGGGTATGCTCTAGGTGTACTAAAACATAAAGATTTATAGCATGTCTCATAGCAGATGACTGAGACTGAATAAACCTTATTTGTACCTCTTGGATCATTATCACATTACATCTAATGGGAAAACTCTGCTGAACCTCATAAGCTATTATAGGCTTGAAATTCTATCTTGTTTGTTTGTTTGTTTTTGCTTTTTTTGGGTTTTTGTCATGCAAGTTTTGATGGAAAGCAAAATCCTTGGCAAAGACAACTCCAAAGCTGTGGGAATCAGGTTTTGGCATGGGTTGTCTCTGATGACCTAAGCGTTAATATGTCACTTGCCTTACTTAATGGACTGACTCCGCAGAACCCAAACTTGACAGGACTGTGGGAGGATGGGCTCTCTCACCAAGAGGGAAGAACACAGACTCTCACCAGGCTTTCTCATAGGGCAGTGAAAATCTGGGGAGCAATAAATTGATAAAGAGAAAAGGCCTTACTGGGTCTACACAAGCATAAACCCCTGGGGGAATGTTGAAGTTTCCGTTGTCTGATAATTAGTCTATGTGCAAATTGGATAAGTAATTTACATAAAATGTCACTTGTAAACAAATACCAGCTTAGGTCAGTCTGTCTCCTCCACTTTTTTTGTCCAAGCAAGATCATATTTCTTGTTCTTTCTTCCAACTGTTTTTGACTGTCCAGTTTGTGCGCTTGTAGGATCCCTGGAGAGTCCCCTGGCTTCTGTCACAGCCCAGGGACCCACTGCAGCTGATTTTATCAGCTCCTTGGGCTGTACTGTCCCTTCTGGGGCTCCATGAAGACTGGAAGGAAGATCCCAGGAGGATACCTGGATACAGACGTTCAGCTCCCCAGGAGGACAGTCAGCATTCCTACAGACTTTCCACAGATGTGACACTGACTGTACTAAACATATTTGAATTGTGGAGTTCCCTGCTGTCTTCTAGAAATAGTTTATTTAGAACTGAGGAGCTTGTAATAATTCTCTAAAAAGACCTCATGTGTGTGGCCATCTAGATCTAACAACTTCTGTACTTTAATGGTATAATAAATAATGCTATAATCTTATGATGAATCTTGCTGATTTATCTACTTAAAACATGCTTTCTGAAGGAATCCATGTGATGATTGTTTTTATCAGACCTCAGGCCTCCAGGGCCTGCTTATATAACAACAGTTGATTTTAATAAACTGAAAGAGGCAAAAAGCCCAAACACATAATAGAAAGGAAAAATCCAGCTACAGGGACTGCTGTTGAGAGCACAGAAAACTGGTTTCTTGATCATCTGAAACACTTTACAATGCAATTAAAAGTAAACTATTTCACTGAGGTGAAGTAAAATCTTACAGTTTTCACACATTTTAAAAACCCAAGTAAAACACATTCTAAACCAGTTCAAGCTCTTTAATATCTTAAACAACAGCTCTAGAAGAAATCCGTCTATTTTAAATTGGGGAAGACACGACATACGTGTGGTGTCTGGTGTTTCCAGTGGGTGCTGAAGAAATCCATTGCAGTAAAATGCTATATAAACAGAATGCACATTTAAATAAAAAGCATTTTAAAACTGCACATATATTTTTAAATGAATCAAATATTTACACTTTATTAATATATTACTGAAATACAAACTTTGTATTGATTAAATAGATTGTTAAACACAGATAGAACAGTAAAAGAAATACATTTTAAGATGCCAGAAATGTGATAGCTCAAATATGTTCTTGACCTAGTGGTAGTCAATTAATTGGTCTGTTCTTTGCAACAAAACAGCATATCGTAACTGCTAAAGTTTACGTGGCTAAACCTTTTAAGTCTGATAAATAATTTTGAAAGCGTTGGTAAGTTACATAAGCTGCATACAATCATACTGCTCAAACAATACATTGAAGATATAAGCCCCCTGTCTTAAAAAAGTGTCCTTTGGGGTTGCAAAGCTAGAAGCAGGGGTCAGAGAACAAAGTCTCCCCATAGAGAAGTGTAGGAGCAGGGAAAGCTAGAAGGGCAGGCACAGCATGGGCACCTGATGGGGACAAGCCATGTGAATAGAACCCACAAGCAGCCCTTAAAAACAGTTATTTGACATGTGGTGTTCTCACTGAAACACAGACTGGTTGAGGTGGGAAGGATCCTCTAGAGGTCACTTGGTCAAACTTGGAGTCAGTTGCCAAGGTTATGGATATTTTTACATTTGCAGGCATCTGTGTTAAAATAGAATGCTCGCCAGTAAAGTACAGGGAAAATGAATAACTGTGCTATGTAACTGGCTGCAGGCTAGAGAATGAACACGTGAGACCTAGGGTAGGCATTTATATTGCAGATAAATATTACCTGCTAACCTTTCTGCCGCCTTTTTCTTTTTTCTTTTCAGGATGCCAATTGGCTCGTGTTCACCACTTTGGAAACTGGATCTTAACAAACAATTGAATTTCATAGGTCTCTGGATGAGTTGTATGTGAGAATTAAAATGCAAGCAGAAGTTTGGTTCAACTCAAGTTTGTTTTTTGGAATTTAATGTATATAAGTATCTCATGTCATTTTGCTTAAACAAAACGTGTCTGGTTTGGTCTGAAATTGGGGTGGTTTTTTGAGATGGGGGATGATTTCAATCTGTGAAGAGTCTTCCACACACATATCTTTATTTATGAAACAATCCTATGAAAAAGAAAAATTAACAACTTCTTTATTATGTGAGTCAAAGGGCAGTCATGTATGGATGAAGCTGCTGGGACACAATGCGCGTTCAGAGTCTACTTGTTTCCAGAGTACATCCTGCTTTCCTGTGCACATCACTCTCAGCATCAGCTACCTTCCAGACTGGTCAGCTGAGAGCATTTTTTGATTCAGACCTCTTCTACCCAGCCACACAGGTTAGCAACATGCAGATACGATTTTTCTCAGATTAAGAAAACTGGAACATCTGGGATATTAACTCCTTCCTCCTTGCATTGCACATCCCAGAACTCTGAACAGTCTGGAGGTGAAAGAAGATCTTTCACAGCACTGGCTGTTGGCAGGTGCTGTCCCAGTGGACAGCTTTCTAAATCTCACTTTCCTCAAAGACTTCCTCAGTTGTCTCTCCAGTGGTGACCTCTCCCTCGCTGCTGTCTGACATGCTTGTCCGTGGGTGGGATGGGAGTGCGGAGCAGGGCTCCAGGTTGAAGTCTGTCCTCTGCCTCACCAGCACCTGCTGCAGCTGCATGCCCCAGGGTTTGCTCACCTCCAGGCACAAGCGGTGTTTGCTGCTGAAATGCTGGTTTTTTCGCTTCTGTGAACATTTTCTGAGGTATTTTATGTTTTCCCCAAGAAAGCAGAGTTTGCAGCCAAAGGGATCTGCCAGCAGGAAACGGGACCACTGCTTCTGGAGTTCTGCTTTCACCTGGGTGGAGGAGAAAACAGTCTGGTCATAGCGATGGCTTGTGACCACCCTGTAGTTCACTAACACAAATACTAGATGTAAAATGAGAGGAACTGTGCAGTCCTGAGCTTCCTGTCTCTTTGGGGCTTCACTTGTACCTGGTGGGGTCCTTCTAAGGTAGGAACAGACTTGTTGGCTAAGTCAACCTGAAAAGCCCAACCTCTGCGCTCTAAGGAAGGATTTTCCTCTGCAAATCTTATGCATGTGTGCGGGAGAGCTCAAGTGACTTCTCAGTTTACAGCCTGATAGAGTGAAGAGGAGGAAAGCCCAGGCGCTGTGGAAATGAAGACCATGCAGTTTTGCCAGAATGTTGTGCTCGTGGAGCTGATTTGTTTTGTTAAAGCCTGACTGAAATCCTCAGCACTGGATGTCCCACTGCCTGCACCCCCTGAGCCCATGCTGCAGCTGGAGGGCAGGCTCCAGCCCCATGTGGAGGACCAGGACTTCCCCTGGCTCTAACCAGCAGAACTTTGGCCTGAGAACTCAGCTGGACCAGGTGGTAGAAGGCCAAAAGAGCAACTTTCAACTGCTGATGAGAGCTGATAGCAGTTCTGTGCCCTTCACAAGTGTCAGACAAGCACTCCTCTATTGCAGACAAGTGCCAGTTCTCTTTTTCATTTAAGTACTTCTGAAATTACAGCACATTTCCTTTATAGATATTAGGAACATCTGGTCTACCTTCTGTATAAAGCACATCCATTTGTTTCACTGATGTCTTTAGAAAGGTGTCCAATTCCTGTAGTCCTGTTTGTGTAGTGTGTCCCATGACAACTGTCTGTGCCAGTGTTCTGATGCTGGATATGTGTCTGTTTATTCCAATTGTGGCAGTCTGCACCCAGGCCAAATACAAGGGAAGTACAGACAGCAAGATTCAACTTAGAAAACATTTAAAATTAAGTGAGATTAATTCCACAGCCTACACAGTATCATTTTCCAAGGCAGTTTGTAGCAAGTCAGGCTGAGAAAGCTGAGGTGTTCAGCCTGGAGAAGGCTCTGGGGAGACCTCAGAGCCCGTTCCAGTGCCCAAACAGGACATAGAAAAAGAGGGAGAGCCACTTTTCACATGTGCAGATAGTGATTGGACGAGGGAGGAACAGTTTTAAACAACAAGAGGAGAGATTTAGATGAGATGTGGGTGGAATGAGGTAAGCTTTAAAGTCCATTCCAACCCAAACCAGTCTGTGATTATATGATTCTGTGCAGTCAGAGTGATAAGGCAGAGGTAGCATGCAGCTGTCACTGGACTGTATGGACAGGAGGAGGGCCAGTAGTAGTTCAAGAGAAGCAGTTGTTCTCCCTTACTCAGATCACCTTTGAATACCGTGACTAATTTTGAACCCCCAGTATAGGAACTGTGTTGATAAGCTTGAACTTATCGGCAGAGATCAGCACTGGGGCACTTGCCCTATGAGGAGATATATTTACGCTTCAAAGCCCAGATACTTTCTATAAGGAGATCATGGAGGAGGTGGAGTCAGGCACTCTGCAGAGGTGTTTGGTAGGGACACAAGAGACAGTGATTACAAACTGAAATATATACAGAAAGGGTCTGGAGCAGCAGGAGCAGCTGAGGGAGCTGTGAGCACTCACCCAGGAGAAAAGGAGGTTCAGGGGGGACCTTCTGGCTCTGCAACTCCCTGACAGGATGGGGGAACTAGGGGAAATAGGGCTCTACTCCCGGTGAACAAGGGAGAGGACAAGAAAAAATGGCCTCCAGTTGCACCAGGGGAAGTTTATATTAGACATTAGCAAAATATTCTATATCAAACAGGCTGCCCAGGGGAGTGATTGAGTCACCATCCCTGGAGACATTTATGTGGTTGTGACACTTGGGGACATGGTCTAGTGGCAGACTTGCAGTACTGGGTTAACAAGTGGACTCAATCTTTTTAAGGTGTTTTCCAACTTAAAACAATTCCACGATTCTATGACAATATATGGAAAAAATATTCCCTCCTGAGTATGGAGAAGCACTGGAACAGAGGACCAGAGAGGTGGTGGAACCTCTGTCCTTGGGCTGGGGGGTTCGAAGTTTAGCTGGACAAACCTCTGAGTAACCTGGTGTGATTTCAGTCTTCACCCCATACTGGCAGGAGGTTAGCTTTCTCTGCTGTCATCTCTGCTCCGTCTACATCCTGGTGCAGAGCAAATTGAACCCCCAGCTGTCCCTTGAGGCACAGCAGGAGACAACTTCCAGACAAGGAATCCCTTACAGCAAGTTTAGGGATGTGCACACATTAAAAAGTGTCTCTGACTGTTGCAGGAGATTGGAAGATGATCTTTAAGGTCCCTTCCAACCCAAACCATTCTGTGATTCTATTAAACTATTTTTTCAGCATGTTGCTGTCTAAGATATCATAGAACCCTAAATATGGTCACTTCACATGGAGTTCAGGGGTAAACTAAGGGGTTCAGCCTGACCAACCATGCAGTCTGGGGTTTCAGCTGAATAAAGGAGTGGGGTTTAGGTGTGTGACTGACCATAAGTTTCTGGTGGTATCTCAGACACCACAGGCTAACCATACCTCCAGTATGGTTATCTCATATCATGGTATCTCAGACACCACTCAGGCTTCAGTGGAAATACTTTGCATTTGAATCCCAAAGCTGTGAGAGTTCTTGCTGTCCTGTTCACAAAATTTTACCAGCTCAAAAGAATGCACACATGTTCTCAATAAGCAGAGCTGGTCAGTGTGTTCATCCTTTTGAGTGTCATTAATATACTTCACTAACAAACTAAAAACTTTTCTCATAAACTGTGTCTTACCTCTCCATTAGCAAAGCAATACAGAACTGCTACCAAAAAACCCTGTAAGAGAAAGAAAGTGAGAGGAAAAAATCAGCGTGCAGGAAATACGTGAAGCTTTACTTTAAGGATGACATTATTGTTAAAACCATAAATATAAACAGTGCTGCTTAATTTTCAAAAAGGCAACCAATTTACTTATTATTGTTATTGAAGTACCCAGTCGGTTGTTTTTGTGCAGTGCCTTGGCAAATGCAGGGCACATTTTGTGCAGATACTGAGAAGAAGAGACTATATACAACCCAGTTTGAACTTCATTTTACTAGCATATAATACTTTTTTCCCAAACCACTACTGCTATAACTGGTGCTATTTCTAAACATGCTAAGGCAAAAAAGTGCTACTTGGTTTGTCATACCATCTATGTGTTTATTGGGGTTTGCATATGAGACTACTGAGACAGATCTCATTTGGGTGCTTTTTACAAATTAGTTCTATATTAAGTGATCAGTGTTAATTCAAAGTACAGCTGTATTGAGTGTTACAGCTATTTTGAATTGTTATTGTTCCTTCAAAATTGATATAAATAAACACCTTAAAAAAATCCTAGAAATAGAACTTGTTTTAAACCAACGCCAAAATTATTTTTTCCATTTGCCTTCTCTCTGTGTTTGATCTCAGACCAAAGCAGCTTCCAGGCTGCATCTCAACTCCACAGGCTGGCACAGACATGCAGATTTATTCCCAGTTCTTCAGGAAATGCCCTTCTTTTGGTATGTCTAAAGGCATCTGTGACACAAGTGCTGATTAAGAGAAAAATAATCTCAGTCTCAAGGCAATGTTTATATCACAACTACAAAGGTACTATAACCATATACAATGCAGCTGACAGCATTCAATTGGTTTCACACTCATATACTTTTCCAGAAATGTTTCTGCTTTTCTCGGACAAAAGCTTAAAAAGAAATTCACATACCCAGAATCTTCAATATTTTTCATTATACCTAGCGTTAACCAATAGCATTTTGAGGCCACTGTTAATTGTCTAGCAATCCTGAAAGGCTTGGAGTCATTAATACCTTAAGCATATATGCAGTAAGTATGAAAACAAGCAGTTTATCTGCCACACCAGTGGAAACGGGGACAGGAGAAATACCAGTGACAATTGCTTTTTCCATGTATTTTATTTCTATCATTTTTCGTGCTTCACCTGGGTTATGCTAGCAAGATATAGTTAATTTTGGCATGTCATTTATCAGCATAACTTTTAAATAATATTTGGCATCTGAATTATTTCATGGAAATATGCAAAAAAATTCACAAAATACTGTGGACATTAGAGTTAATAATGGATGATATTAAATACCAATTATAATACATTATAATAATTGTATCTTATAACTATTATAATTACAATATATTCTCACATATGATATTAAGTACAGATTTAAGAGCTTAAAAAGCAACTTTTTTATGCAGAACTGCTCCTGCACCTGGACATAGTTCTCATTATTTTAGGTAGAAAGTTCATGAAAATGTCTTTACCTGGTGGGTGGTTTGGGGGTTTTTTTGTTTTATTTATGAGCTCTAAATTTAGCCTCGCGGGCACTGCAAGCAGAAACAGGATTTGAACTACATGGTGCTGTTGAGTCCTTTGACTGCTAAGCCTGGTGATAGCCACTGCCAGAAAAGCAGAGACTCACCAGATTAGGAGCTGCCTGTGTGAACACGAGTGACATCTCTGTGCTGATTTCAGTTTGTAAATCCCTCTGTGAATCTAGTTCCCTGCTCCTGCAGGACCAGAGCATGCAGTGACAGGCAGAAGCACTGTGAAATCATACCAGAAGGTGGAAAGTTCTGCTGATTATTCATGTTTGATGTTCATTTTATATCCTGATTTCTTTAATGCTTACTCATTTTTTCCCAATAAATTGAATTTCACACTTAGAAATCTTTCCAATATGCTGTGACTTCTCAAGCACACAATTTCAGAATTATCCTAGTATGAGTGAAAAAGAAGAATCAGAAATTCAGAAGAAATGTTCATTAGCATAAACACCAATAGAAAAGAATAGATGCACACGTAAGCCTCACAACTGTTTTTCAGTTCCATTGACAATGGCAACATGATAAATTACTCATTAAATAACGTGTTCTCTCCACCAGAAACAGTAGGTTTTCCTGTGGCTAGCAGTTTGCATGCATCAGGGAGCCAAGGTATTTGGATTGCTCCACTTTCTAGAGCAAAGCAGCATCATACGTACAGCAGAACTCCTATTTAGAATTTAATTCTGTGCTCCTTCAAAATGTTTGAGTTAAACCTCCAGATAAGATCACAGGGGTAATTGTTTTTCTTTAACAAAACAGTTTAACTGTCTTTTAAAACTATTGAGAAGATTTACAGACTAAACAAATGTAATTGTGTACAGTTGATGCGCTTTTTGGCTAATCCCTTCACAAATAATGCCATAGCTAAAAGAGAGAGTCTGCAATAAACTTTGGGTATTTTGTAAAGACATTTTGTTTCTAAAGCATGACATGCAGCCAAGCACATGAATGTTTCTCTAAAAGGAATGAAGTTTGTGTTCTCTAGCAAGGATGAGTAAGCTGGTTTATATATCAGATTTCTCTGTACAATCCAGTAAATGAAATTTTCACTTAATTTTAAGTGTTTTCTGTGTTTTTAAAATAACATCTAGCCACTGCAACGTCTCCAAGTAAGGATACGTCTAACTGAGGAATGCATGCTCCAACACTAAGGTCCCTTCCAACCTAAATCATTCTGTGATTCTGTGAACACCATGTCAGCGAGCCTCTCAGGGTTGTGGCTCTGCAGGAACTCTCTGGGAGTTTTTTCCCCTCAAACTGTAGTGGAAATTTTTAATTGGAGCCTCAAAAACAGTGTCAAAACACTGATGCATACGTACACCGTAGTGTGGGTGCATACATAAAGGTCAAAACCAAGGATCATCATAAATTGTGGGAAAAGTGCAGCAATGCTGTGATGACTTCATGCCTCAGGCTGCAGAAGTGGGCAGCATGTGTCAGAGCACTGAGTTAGTGAGGAGCAAGGACTTGTAGCCAGAGAGATTGCTGGGTTCCTCAGTAAAGAGAGGAGGCCTGGAAATCGCTGTTCTGTTGCCCTAAGAAGGTCAAGACAGGAAGATAAGGGTAAAGGACAACTTTTCTAAGCAGGTTCATTACTACTACCTGGAAGAGCCGTTACTCAGCAGCTCTGCAGAACTCAGACTGAAGCAGACAGCACTGCTTTGTGCCAGTGTCCAGTTCTTTGGCTTTGCAAACTGAAGAGCAAATAGTTATGGGGAAGCACACCTATACCTGTGCATAAGTGGCCATCTGAGAGTTCCAGTGACAGCTCACTCTACAATTAGGACTACTTAGGATTGGCTATTTAACTGGAGTGTGAGTCCTTCACCCCCTCAGGCTTGCCACAGGTTTGCTACAGTCAAACTCTCTTCCTTTCCTACCTCAGGTTTCTGCCTATTTTCACAAGACTAAGGCAGGGTGACTGAAGAGGAGTCAAGTGTGCGAACATCTGTAAAACGCTGCTGACCGTATAGGTAAGAAACTTCTTTTCGACCTGCAGACACTGGTCTGTGTGTCTGTTCCATCCATGTAAGGGCTCTGAAAATTTTTCTCCTAGCTCTAAAAATTTGTGAGTACAGTACTTTTGTGAGTGTACATCTAGGAGCCCATAGTGTCACTTTGCAGATAAGGTGAATGAACAGATCCTTTAGGGAAATGGAACCCAAACCTTGGATGAGGACAGACATTCTCATAGTTATGATTTTGGTGGGGATTACTTTAAATAGATCGCTTTAATCCTGTGTTCAGGGGTCTGTGATGAACTGTCACCTACTATCAAAGAATACAGGATACACTGTTTCTGAAGATGTCTGACTCCTTTTTTGGTGATTGGGACTACTATATTTTGAATATGCAGTTTGTGAATGTTTTATCTTGTCACTGCAATAGTGTATTTAGAGACATTTTAGGTTGGAGTGTAATATTAAATAAGAATTCTCTATATTTGTGGTATATATAGGTGAGCAGCATATGCACATGGATCTATGACCCCTAAAAACAGTACTTGCAAAACAGTACTTACATGAAATGAGCTCATTGTCAGCTGAATGAAAAGTCTTATATGTCTTGGAAGTCCTTCCACCTGTTCATCAGTGATGAAGGTAAATACAAACTCATGGATGCCCAACAATGGAATCAACACAAGCGTAGATCTTGCCAATCTTAAAAAAGAAAATGTTTGATTATTATATTTTTAAGTATCTTTGGTACAAATATAAAAAAATTCAGCTACAAAGAAATGATTCCAGAAACATTCCCCCAATATTCTGACTCTGGAATGGTATTAGCAGTTTAGTGATTTTGGAAATAAATCCTCAGATATGAGTTTTGAAACATACTATCATAAAGGTATGAACAGGAAGGAATCTTGGTTTTGAGTTTCAGGTGAAAAGTTAGGGACAAGAAATAGAACAGGAAGGCTGCTATCATCAAACATGTTGTTAGGTAACAGAAAAATATTTACGTAGCTAAATATGAGTGGTCTAGTAACAGGGTCCTTAGACCTTCCTATCACTGCTGAAAGCTCTGTGTAGCTGCATTGAGAACATCCTGCGGTACTGTCAGCAGCCATCTGCTTCCTAAAAAATGCAACTAGAATAATTTGCTAGAAGAGAATCTTCTTTAACGAGTCTGGGGACATATTTATATGGATGAAAGAAGAGCTCTCAAAACAAAGTGAATTATGAGGATGATTTGCATTATGAAGAATAGCTTGACTCTTTAAAAGTTTAGCAAAATTATAAACAGTAGAAAGTGGAATATAATACAAAACATTAGGCAATGTTAAATATAGGCATTGCTGTCTGTACATCACAACCACCTTCCCGCATCATTCTGCAGAATATAGCTGAGATCCTTTGGACATTGACTGTTGAAGGAAAATGGAAATATTATTTTGTTAGGGATGTAATACTAGGTTTAAGAGGAAGTCAGTAGCAAAATTTCCATCCCCCCCCTCCCCTTACCTGGTTCTTTTTGACAATAAATTAATTAGTGTTAGTAAGGCAGGACTGTAGTAGCAACCAGGGGTTCACAATGATACTAAAAGATACTAAGAACAGGAAAGGACTGGCATATGGAAAGCAGTTAAATCCTCGTGTTTCCATCATTTCCAGGTTTTCACTGCAGCCTTAGCTTCTTGCAGAGCAGCCTGCCCTTGTAGTTCCCACAAAGAGAGAAGATATTTGTGAAAATGTCAACTCCGAGACTTTAATATGATGTACCATTGAGACTCCTCCAAAAGAGCCCACACCAAGGCCTACAAGAGTGCAGGCTAAGGAAGAAGGTATATCAGAAACACTGAGACATTTCAGTGTCTAACAAATCTTCACACCCTTTTCTTTTGAGGACCTTTTGTCACATTCAAGGGAAAAATGCATCACAGCAGCAGAGGCCGCAGGTGTGAGTGAAGATACCTGAGAGCAGGGATGTCATTGCATTGCAAAACCTTTGTGAAAATGCCCACAAAACTCAGCACATAGGTGCTGACCTGTCTTTACCTCTCAGATAAGGAAATGTCTGTGGAGCCTTTTTTCCCAGATGGTTTTCCTATATCATACTCTAAGTATCTGTTACGCCTGGTGGTGGTAGGTAAATATTTAAGGACAAACAGGCAATCTTCTGATGTTATGAGAAAATAAAAAGAAAGGGCCTAGATTTCTGTGTTACTTATTACATACCTGTATTTGTAGTCATGAAAGCTCATTTGCTGAGCTTTTAGTTTGGAAATCAGCATCCTGAGAATTTTTAAGAAGATGCCAAAGTTAACCTTTAACAAAAATACATATGGATTACTTAATATAAATGTTATGGCACTAATCATATAACTATTAAATAAATGCAAAATTGATATTAAACACTTGCAAAACCTGCCACCAAATAACTGGAATGCAGTTGTGATGAGGCTGGAATTCAAGCAGGTTTTTGCCACATCTGCAGCAGAGCGTACAGAGCAGCAGTGACAGACTCTGCTGGTATCAACTCTCTCCAAACAAAGCAGCTAACAGTTTATTTACCTTTAGGTCATGCAACGCTTCGCCAAACCATGACAGGTAAGCAGGATGTAGTAAAAATCCACAGTGATCGCAATTCTTCAGATAAAGAGGATGTAGGCAGACCAAAAAGCCCTGGGCATTCTTTTTACAACTGATTATCTCCTCTGTTAATTAAGTTGTCCTGACTTGAGCCAGAAAAATTTGCAAATAATTCTTTCTAATGAGACCTGCCAATGCCTATGAGTCATGAACTATTTATCTTTCACAGACCAAAAGCCCTATGCAAAAAAGTTACTAAAGTTGCAAAATTGAGGAACTTTGCATTGCCTTATTCAGCCTGATTGGCGTATAATTTGTGATACATGATCTTCCAGTACAAAATTATATTTTAATTTTTTAACATAGAACTCTGCTTCCTCATTATTTGAACAGTAGTTTATCCCTTATGTCACTTTATAGCCCCATGATATTTCTGTAGTAGGAAACTGTATCTTATTTGTTCCAAAATATCGAAGGACAAAACAGGTACTAATTAAAAAGACCAAGGAGGGGAAAAAATATGGGTTATATAATTCTTACTGTAATGGAAAACAACATTGGTCCTCGGATGATCCACCAGATTCCCATGTGTTCATTTGTTCCCCAGCACCTGGAGAATAATTTGAAGTATAATTAATATTTAATATATAATTTTACTAATAATTTAATATAATATGTAATTTTATATAATATACATTTTGTATATTTATCTATTTACATTTTATATATGTACATATAATACATAATTTTAATAATAATTGAATATATAATTTTTCATAGAAAAATTAGGAAGCTTACATAACCTGTGTATATATTTCAAAAGGAAGTTGATGCAGTACAAGTTTTTCAGGTGGTCCTCAGAAGAAACAGAGTAAAACTATGAAGAGTCTCATCAACAACTCTAGTTGTATTTATTCTGAAGATCTTTCCACGTGAATGTTGAGAGCTGTTTCCCTGGACCACAAACTTCAGAACTATCTGGCAAACTCAATCTTCAAATCCACAAAATAACTGTATATGACACCAAACCTTCATAATGAAATTCATCCTACTTAAATTACCTGTCGGAAACTATAAATGAGTAAACTAAGAATTGTGTAGTAAACAGGAATTGCTTCATGTCTTGCTAAAAAATATGCATACTGTTTCCTTGAATCTATGTCCTTTTATCCTGCTCTAGCCTTCTAATTTGTCCTATGCACATGTTTTCTCTTGCCTGAGGTTCTGTACTATCTTGGTTTGTCATTTACGATTTAGATAACATCTAACTCTATGAGCCTGTAATTATTATTTGGTTGCTGCTTATTATCTATATTGGCATTCCACATTAAATTCTCTAGAAGCCATGAATAATAAAAAGAGAACAAGAGAAATCATACAAAACTCACAAAGTTTATGTGATGCTACTAACAGCATCATTGAAGACCAGAAGACTGGAAAAGTGATGCTTACTAGTGCACATTACTGTCACTAATTCCTCCACCAAATATGAACACATTCATTAGTATCAGCTTTCAGTGACTATAAGATTTTGCCATTAGAATTCATAATAATTGTTTTTTTACAAAATGACGGGGAATAGTTAGTAATTAAATGCAAAGTGTAGATGGTCTCCAAGGAGACCACTGGTTCCCTTTTCCTACTGAGAGGATGCTCTCCATAAAGATGGTGGTGCTGACAACTTGCTTCATGTAAGTGGATGAACACTGGATGTGATACCTTTCCTCTCAGGAACAGTGAAGGTTCATTCTACTTCTTGATTCATGCATAAGTGAATCTGAGAATTCCTAGAAGTAGTTTAATGTAAAAGTACTAAAAGGAACCTGAAAAATGTAACAAGTATCTATAGGTGCTGTATGTATTTTATAATCTAGTAATCAGTACTTGTGTCAAGTACTGTCAAGGGCTTTCAGAAAAGTTAAGTAAACAGAAAGACAGTGTGCTAAGGTTCTTTTTATTTAGTAACCTACCCAGTGTTCTCCAGTTTGGATCTGCTTATTCCCCAAGGACCCACAAACAGGATCGGGACAACTGAAAGGAAAAAACATCAATTACAGCCAAGTTTGCAGAAGTGTGTGGTGCAGAGATATGTGCTTTTCAGTCTTCTATTTAGAAATGTACAAAAATCAACCTAATCCTGGCTTTCCCCATTTCTAGTTCAAATACAAAATGAAGCTTCATTGTGTAATTGAATCTTTCATTTTCAGACTGACATATACATACACACACAAACACACACTGCCGGCCTTTTGAAATTTTCTAAATTTCTGACCCTGGGAATTCAAAGTAACTGGCACATGAGGCCTCGTAGACTACCTTAGGCAACAGTTGTTGAACCTTAAAAGAGTTTTCAGTGAAGGCATGAAACTCTGCCTAATCAAAAGAGCTGATAAAGGATTGTTGTCCTGGATCAAGAGGATCTGTGGTCCCCCTTCCCCCATTGTTACCCTCACTCCTTCCTGGAAGTCATAGGCTTCAGGTTGGGAAAAAAAAAAAAACAAACACCCTGAAATAAAGGATTAGTGCATTATTGCAATGGTCTACATATGTCCGGGCACAAGTCTCAATCAGAAGCAGAAGGCATGTGAGCTACAACAAGCAGGCGTTCCACTGCATTCTCAGCCCAATAACACATGGGAGAGTCTGTGGTGGATGTGGCAGAAATGAAAGGAGATGTGGGTCGCCGGGGCCAGAAGAGGGATTATTCAGTATTCTGGGACACTAGCTAAGGTCAGGGGGAAAGCTGGAGTGTGGCGATGCAGGGAAAGGTCCAAAACCAAAATACTCTCTAAAAAATAGATCTCTGAGCAGGTAAAAAGGGGGAAAGAGATGAAAGGGGTCTCACTTCGGTGGGAGATGGCATTGGTGCAACAAGCGGGTCTGAGAGAACAATCAGGGCATGGAGAACTTGCTAACGGAGCAATAGATCCGGGGGAGTATGACGTGGTCTCATGAGGAAAGGTGATACCAAGGATGATGAGGGGATGTTATCAAAAGGCAGTTCCTGTACAGTAGCTGAGGAAATGTCTCAGTCAGTGTGAGTGCAGTTCAGCCCTGCTGACGCATGTCTGTGAGACACTTGCCAGATGGCCCATCTTAGTAGTGATGGTAATAAATATAAATAAGAGATTAAACTAATTAGTGAGGAAAGCCTTTAGGAAATCAGTGAATATGGTGCAGATAGGAGTGCAATAGAGGATGACCAACAGGCATAATAGTAACAATAATAATCAGGAGGATCATTATTATTTATACTCTAGTGAGAAAATTTCCTAACAAACTTGTCTATTGCAGTTTGAACAAGGAATAAAATAACTAGTCACCACTCATCCAACAAGCTGGTGATCAAAGCAACAAAGTGATTTAGAGAGATACGGAAGTATGGTGAAACAACACTAAGCACCGTGAAAGACAGTGGTCTTGGTGCATCAGCAACCTGTGCGCTCATATGGCCATACTGGTAGAGCACAAGGGTCCTTTAAAGAAGAATCTGAAGGGGAGCAGAGAAATCAGGGCATGGGTGGTGAGAAGGACCCTCAAAAGTGTAGGGCACAACAGAGGACAAAGCCTAGAGGCTTGGCAACGGGCAATGGAGTGTGATGTTAGGCTTTGACAGGAACTTTCGATAGATGAGGAAGGATGGGAATTAGTGTGAAAGTGAAGGAAAGTATTTTATATCTGATAAGGAAGAAGCAAAAGAGCAAAAGAAGAGATGCCAAAAATGGGGTAGCATGTTCAAAACTACAAGCCTGAGAAATAGTTGTCGCAGCAGCATAATGGATGAATACAGGAAGGACAGAGAAAAAAAATGCTGTAGGAAATAAGACAAGTTCTAATGTGCCTATATATAGAGTTGCATAAAAGATTAAGGTAATATCCCACTTCACTGAAACATTGAAATAATTCAGTCTACGAAGGTACTTTTCTTCTTACTTTGGTTCTAGAGAAAATCTCAGTATTAGTGACCTGAATTTAACCTTGTTAGATAAAATTAAATCCCTCCTCTGTAGGATCTGAAACCCAGCTGTCAGCAGAAAGGAGCTTGGTGGGCCTATGCAGTAAACTTTGGGCAACAGAGGCTGAGAGAAATCCCTGCATCTGAAGGACTGGACCTTCCTCACGAGACCTGTTGATATACAGTCATGTGGATTAACCTGGCTCCTGCAGCAGGATAAGGAAGGACTTTGAGATGAAGTTATCAAACCATGTTGAAACCCCTTTGTTTTCTTCTCCCCCATGTAATCCTGGTTAAGGAAAATATTAATCAATTGTGTAACTATAGCAGAAACCTGTGTAATCCCCTAGTTACCATAGTCAGTCCCCTAATTATCATAAACCATCCTCCTCATTAACATATCCAACCCCCAAGACCCTTAAATTGCACTCATGTGTTCAATAAAGTATTCCAGTTTCTACCTCCATATCTGGGATCATCTTAGCTTTCTGGACCCTCGTACTCCTCCACAGGTAGACTAAACTAAAGATTTAAGCTCTTCCTGATTCTAAGAACACACAGGAACTCTGTGATCTGAAAACACCCCTCAGAGCACTTGATGAACACAGCAGAAATCATACTGGGGGAGCAGAGGAGGCACAGAGGGTGGGAGATGGAACGAGGATGAAAAAATTAGGAATTCTGCTTTAATCATATGAAACTTGACTTCATAGTTAGATAATCAGAAAAGTTGGAGGTTTTTTTTTAATATTAACTATTTGATTTCCCTGTAAACATAAGAAAGTTGGTCTGGAACACAGGACTCAGTACCGACTGTGCAGAAAAGGATACAGGAATGTATTTTATCTTCTTTTTTGTCAAGTGCCTTTACTCTAAAAAACTACAGTTGTTTTGGGGCAAGACCAACTTTCTGAGGCAATTTTAACCATCAAATTTCTGTCCATGCGCCAAAATGCAATATTTGAATATTCCAGTTTATTCTTAGTATTTGTCCTGACAAAACATTGTCCTCCACAGAGATGTCTCAATATGTACTTAGATTTAGTCCCCAAGTCTGAGTTGTAATATAGTGCCATAGATGTAGATGTCCTTCTCAGCTTAAATACATGAGTATATTTGGTGAAAAAAGATTTCATGTATCAAATTTCTGCCTTGGAACCTGGAAAAACTTTAGTATTAACTTTGCGGAATTGCATTCCAAATGATTGATGATTGCTTTGCTTAGGCTTTCCTTATCTCTTCATCATAGGTATTAAATAACAATTTTCATCAAATTGTTTACTATGTTGACTTGATTAAGGTAAGCTTCAGCTTAACTTGAAGAACAGTCATCGTGTTTCAAATGTGAAAAAAAAAATCAGTTTTTTTGCAATTATGCAGTAAACCCCCCTTTCCCCACTGTACATGATTCCTCAATAAAAAGTAATGATTTTTTTCCCTGAAGCTCCCTTCTCATGTGATGTCAAAATGCAAACACCTCTGTCTAATCCTCCTTCTGTCCTCTCAGCTTTTCCACTTTATTCAATTGTGATGGTGCTCAGTAGTGAGGACTCTGCATTTGTCATCTGAACCTCAGAACTCCTTTGCTTCTCATGGGCCTCGCTAAAACAACCTGAGTTTCTTAACGTCTGGAGATAAGCTAGTTTTTAGTTGGTCTTTGAAGAACTAAGAGGCATGAGATGTGAAACAGTCTGTTAGAGCTCTTCTATTGTTACAAGCGGCTAAATAAAATCTTATTTGGGATTTAAAACTGCAAAACAAGGAGAAAAGAACAGAAGTGTTCTAATTGTTAACAAAAGGAAAAATTGACACAATGCCAACTATAAGTTTTATGTTCACTGATAACTAACTGATTTAATGCTCCTAATTAAATGTGCCACTGCTAACATTGCTGGGTCCAAATACTTTTTATTGGTGCCCAATAACAAGATTACACAATGCACAAGATTAAGTGTCCATTCTACTGACATCCTCAGAACAATACATACGATACTATCTCATGTGTGTTCAAAACCTGGTTCAAACACTCTAAGAGACATAAGTTAGGTACCTTTTAATCTGATCAGTAGTAGTAAACACATGCCATTTCTGTAAGAGACATCTAAATCTTCTGGGTTTTCTTTAACGGATCATTATTCTTTCCAGCAAGATAGTTAATTTAAAGCAAAACCATCTGGTATACTTCAAGAGGACTTTATGTTTCGCTGAGGTTTCGCCCTGTGTGGTTATTTGGATGCTTGAAGTTCTGTTTCGAATCTTGCCTTAAGCACTGACATTTTTCTACAAGGGTTCTTTATTAATAAATGAATAGTCATATTAGAAGAGCATAAAAATGGTCTTATCCCTTGAATTTTAAAATGAAAATTGGATAGCATCTAAATCAAGCTACTGCAGAAATTTCTAGAATTAAGTAAATTTGAGATAAGGCAGACATCAAAGAGTCTACCTGTATTCATTCCCTGTGATTTTTGCAAAGCAAGCTCAGTACAGCTTTTAGATACCTGAAACTAAATTACATGAATGACTGTCAAAGTGACAGAGAGACTGTCACAGTCTTGATAACAAGAACCAAAAATTTCCTTCAAATATTTAGATGTTGTAACATTCCAACTTAATGATTAAAATTTCAATAATTTCAACTTCATCAATTTACATTTAAGTTTGAACACCCCTTTAAAATCAGACCTCAATTTATTAGATAATTTTAGCAAGAAGTACAGCACAGTAAATATGGAATAGTTCATTTACAATTGAAAAATTATCCACCATCCTTTTAAAAATCACTTTTCCTTTTTTTCAAGTGTGCTGTACACTACAGTCCCACAGTCCTGGACACACAGTTTTACTTTTTTCAGCACAATTTAATAGACACAGATGTAGTGACAGTGATCATCATCATGGCCAGGCTTTGCGAACGAAGATTTGGGAAAGGGCTTTACCCACGTTTGCTAGAAGCATGCTGGTGGTTAAAAAGGCCAATACAAGACAGGCATGTCCGGTTGCAAAAGGCACAGCAGAAGGACTCCTTAGGTGGTAAATTCTGCAGGGCACGATTCTTTCTGTGTTGTCTTTTCTCCTCAAGGGTGATCCTGCATGCGTTCTCAAAGGAAGCAGCAGCGTTATAGATGGTGTGTCTCCAGACCTCCCGATTGGAGGCCAGAGTAGACCAGTTATGTTGATCAATATGGCCAAGGCTGAGATGTTGTTTCAGGGAGTCCTTGTATCTCCTCTTCGGGGCTCCTCTCATGCGGCAACCAGTGGCAAGTTCACCATAAAGCAAGATCTTAGGGAGGCGGTGGTTGGTCCTTCATCCTTGAGACGTGCCCTGCCCAGTGCAGCTGTGTTCTCAGCAACATGGCCTCAATTCTTGTGACTGCTGCTTGTTCTAGAACAGAAGTATTAGTCACATAATCTAACCAGTGGATGTTTAGGATTGTACGAAGGCAACGTTGATGGAGTCACAGGTGGTGGAGGCAGATGACCCAAGATTCAGATCCATATAAAAGAGTAGACAGCACTATGGCTCTGTAAACACTGATCTTTGTACTTTTCTTCAACTGTTTATTTCGCCAAACTCTTTTATGAAGCTTTCCGAAGGCACTGTATGCCTTTGCTAACCTGTTGTCTATCTCCCCGTCAATCTTACCATCCAAGGAGATGAGGCTGCCTAGGTAATTAAACTGCTGGACTGATTTGAGCTCTGATTCACCAATGGTGATATGGGGATGATGGAAGACTTTCTGAGGTGCCGGTTGATAGAGAACTTCTGTCTTCTTTAAGCTGACTTCCAGCCCAAAGAGCTCAGCAGCCTCAGCAAAGCAGGATGCTAAACGCTGCAGAGCTGCTTCTGTGTGAGCCACGAGGGTGGCGTCATCAGCATAAAGCAGCTCCTGGACAAGATGGTTTAAGGTCTTAATGTGGGCCTTCAGTCGCCTTAGGTTGAAAAGGTTTCCATCAGTACGGATGATCTCGGAGGTCTTTTCCAACCCAATCAATTCTATGATTCTATGAATGTAGATACCATCCTGATCATCAAGGTCTGCAGTGGCCCTTTGGAGCGTCCTGCTGAAAAAGATTGTGAATAGGGTTGGTGTGAGAACGCAACCTTGTTTCACACCATTGGTTATTAGAAAGGGCTCAGAAAGTGCATTGCCATATCTGATTTGTCCGTGTTGATCCTCATGGAGTGAGACGATCATTTTAAGGAACTTGGGGGGACATCCTAAATGTTCCAAAATCTGCCACAGACCTTTTCTGCTCACAGTATCGAAAACCTTGGTGAGATCAACAAAGGTTACATAGAGACCTTTGTTTTGTTCCCTACACTTCTCTTGCAGTTGTCTGAGAACAAATACCATGTCTGTGGTACTCCTGTTGACTCTGAAACCACACTGGCTTTCAGGTAGAATTCCTTCTGCTATAGTGGGTATTAGTCTGTTCAAGAGTATTCTTGCCAGGATTTTGCCAGCAATGGAGAGCAGAGTAATACCACGGTAATTTGAACAGATCTGGTAGTTCGCCTAGTTCCCAACAGCACACCACAAACTCGTGAAATTTAGCATGGAGTGCAAGGCCCCATGTTTCCAGACTTCAGGTGGAATTCCATCAACCCCAGCTGCCTTGCTGATTTTCACCTGCTGTATGACCTTAAGGGTTTCTCCTAAAGTGGGGGCAGTATCCAATTCATACTTCACCGGTTGTTGTGTGATGGACTGAATAGCTGAGTCTTGGACTACACGGTTAGTACTGAAAAGAGTCTGAAAGTGTTCAGACCATCGATTCAGAATGGAGGTTTTATGTGTCAGAAGAGTTTGACCATCAGTGCTGAGTAGAGGACTTTGAGCTTGGTATGTAGGCCCGTATGCTGTTTTCAGGGCTTCATAGAATCCTCTGTGATCACCCATGTCTCGGCATAATTGTGTTTTTTCAGCTAGACTGATCCACCACTTGTTCTGGATGTCACGGAGTTTCTGTTGGAGCTTGCTGCATGCAAGGCGAAAGGCTCCTTTTCTTATGTGCCACGATGGCAGTGCAAGGTGTGCTTGTGGGCAGTTCTCTTCTTCCTCAACAATTCCTGGATCTCTTGATTGTTTTCATCGAACCAGTCCTTGTTCTTCTTGAGGGAAAACCCTAAGGATTTTTCAGAGGACTGCAGGATGCTGTTTTTAATATGGTGCCAAAGTGTTTTAGGAGAGGTATCTGTAGAATCCATGGAATGGTTTTTGAGCCTAGTTTGAAGATTAGTCTGGAATTTGTTTCTCACTGTGGTTGATTGAAGATTGTTAACTTGGAGTCTCCTCCTTGGGATACTGCCCCTTTTAGGTTTGAATTTAAGATTGAGGTTAAGTTTGTAGTGCACCAGCCCATGGTCTGTTTGGCATTCTGCACTGGGTATCACACGGGTATGGTGGACATCGTGGACATCTCTCCGACGCACCAAGACATAATTGACGAGGTGCCAATGTTTGGATCTGGGATGCATCCAGGTTGTCTTCAGACTATTTTTCTGCTGAAAGATAGTGTTAGTGATGGTGAGCTGTTGCTCCGCACAGAATTCTAACAGAAGTCGACCATTATCGTTGCAGTTTCCAACACCATGCTTGCCTAATATTCCTTTCCAGGCTTCAAAATTCTTTCCTACTCTGGCGTTGAAATCACCAAGGATAATGATCTTATCATCTGCAGGAACCTCCTGGGTAAGGTGGCGCAGGTTGGTGTAAAATTTATCTTTTTCAGTAGGGTCAGCTTGGAGAGTTGGGGTGTATATACTAAAGAGGACAACGTGTTGCTTGTTGTGTAGTGGAAGATGTAGGGAGATAATTTGGTCAGAATGACTTGTTGGCAGATTTTTGAGTTTAGGAACAATAGAGTTTTTGATCATGAAGCCGACTCCTGAGAGATGCCTTTCAGTTCTGGACTTACCTGACCAAAAGAGTGTGTAACTGGCACCATGTTCTCTGAGGCTGCCTTCCTCGTGAAGGCGAACTTCGCTGAGAGCAGCAATGCCAATGTTGAGACATGACAGTTCATGGGCAGTTAGGGCAGACCGACGCTCAGGACATCCCCTATCTGCCGAATCGAGCATGGTTCTGATGTTCCAGCATGCTAGAGTTAATTTGGGTACACCTTTGGAGGCAGGTGTATGCCTTTGTTTTTTGATCTTTGTGTGACTGCATTTGTAGAAGATGTCACTACAGGGCTTTGCAAATGCGGGTAAGGCCTTCGAGCCCGCGCAATGGATTTTTTAGGTGAGACGCAGCATGCGCTGGACTGAACCCACCCTTTAATCCTAAGGTTCATCTGCCAGGGCCGAGCGAGCTTGGACGGTGGCAGCGAGGTCCTCAGGACATAGGTTTAATTAGAATGACCTTCTCTTAGATGGATGACCTTACAGGGCTGATCGAGCTCCATCTGCCCGGGTTTAGAGTTGTCCTTCTCCTCTGTGCGCTCCGAAGCTCCCCCTCTTATGTCCCACGATGGCACTGTCCGCACCGGCAAAGCTCCCACTCTCTCGCTCCTTTCCGCACGCGGGGTCGAGCCGTGCACACACGCCCGGGGCCAGGCCGGGGCCGCGGTGCTGTGAAGGACGCACTCCGGGAGTGACAGTGAACCATCTTGTAAAATCATACATTGATAAAAGTTTTATAGTCAGAACTTCTTATGGCCAACCCTTCTATCCTACTTCTTAGCTCAGGCCCCCAGATTTGAATGAAAAGCTCTTGCAACAAACTTAGATACTGTTTAAGAGGACACTTTTAATCATAATTTTAAACTTTCAGAGGCCAGCAAGTTGTACAGGTAGCTTTTAGATGATTATCTGTAATTGGGAAACCTTGATTTTCTCCTTTGTCCAGGCAAGATACAGAATTACACTCACTGAGTAAGCAAAAAAAAAATAAAAAATTGTCAGACTACAGGACATAGTATATACAAAATTGTTTAAATGCTTGTAACTAACATTACATTGTCTTTATTTCACGAAAAATGCCTGAAATGTAAGACCTGACTCATGCACTGTTTCAGATTGTCCTCTACCTTAAAGCACACTGTAGAACTTTCAGGTGAGGTTGGAAGGGGAACATTTAAAAGAAAATTGCTTATGTTTTGACATTTTTTGTTACGTAGGTGCTCTATTACAAAAGAAGGAAATGAAGTTGCTGGTGGTACCATAATATTCAGTGACGACAGAATATACAGTCAAATATAGTAAAATTTCTTCTTGTTCTGCCCACCAGGTTCCTGTTTTCTTATGAACCAATTTTACTAAGTCCTCTACGTGCAGGTCCAGCTGAGCTGCCATGAATGTACCACTACTGGCATACTCTCATTTACAATTGCTGGCTTCAAAACTAGCAGAGTTCAGATTTTACTTTCTTCTTTACAAAATATCCTCCACTGACTCAACAAAGCATCACATAATCAAGTACTTAGAAATAGTTAAGGACTTACCCCATCCTATCACAATGTATGTCTGCAGCAGTCGTCTTTCAGAGAGTACCACAGTTATCAATAATGTGTGCAGATAAATTCCTTCTACTAATAGCCAAAAGTAATTTGCCCCAACAAAGTAATGCATGAAAAACTGGGCAGTCCTGCAAATTATTACAATCTGTAGGAATGAGAGATCAGGAATCATTGTAAATATAGGTGTCATAATCCGCATATCAGAATTTTTACTGATGAACTATTAAAATAATAGTCACCATTAACATCTTGCAGTTAATTTTGCTTGTTGACATGGGTAAGCTTTATTCTTACAACATTCTGCAAGTATAATTTATTCACAGTGGTCACAAATGAGGTGTTGTTATTCCATTTTCTAAACAAATGTAAGAAAATTAATACATTTTCCTAGTACAGAAAAGCCTTTATACTGTTTTTCCTCTCTCTTAGTGCTGTTTCATAGAAAATCACAGAGTGGTTTGGGTTGGAAGGGACATTAGAGATCATCTAGTTCCACCCCCCAACCACAGACAGGGACACCTTCCACTAGACCAGGTTGCTCCAAGCCCCATCCAACCTGGCCTTGGACACTTCCAGGGATGGGGCAGCCACAGCTTCTCTGGACAGCCTGTGTCAGGACCTCACCACTCTCACAGGGAAGAAATACACTGTGTGATACTGTCCTGGTTCCAGCCAGCCAGGAGTAACTTTTGCAGCAGCCAGGAGATGTACAGCAGGACCCCAGGGTTTTCGATCCCACCCCAGCCCTGCACAGGGCAGTTGCATTTTTCCGGTTTGCTGGGTGAGCAGTCAGGTGGCATCAGTTCCACATGGTGAGTGATTGGTGTGAATCGTTTGCCTACCTCTGTCATTGGTATTGTGGATATTACTGTTCATTTTATTATCTTATTGCTTCTTCCAGTAAATTGCTCTTTTCTCAACCCACGATCTCTGCCTTCTGTATCTCTAATTCTCCTCTCCTTCCCACCGCAGGGGGATGGGGGGAGTGAGCGAGCGGCACGTGGTGTTTCAGTGAACACCAAGTTGGGGAATACCATTCCTAAATCACTACAATTACTATTGTCGGAAAAGCAAGATTTGTGTGCACTGCTTTATGCTATGCATAAGAGGAGTGAATAAATGTGGTGTTAAATAGGTGCCAAATAAATACCGAGATTTCTTCCTGAAAGTTGCAGGTGTGAGTTGTTTCACTTAGGTGTCTGTTTCTAAATATAGCACTCCATTAATATGTTCTTTCTATAAGAGCCTTCCTATAAAATCAATCTATTACAATTTGTCAAATCAGAATTTTATCTTGATTATGCCAAATTTTATCAGCCAAATTTCAACATCCTAAGTTCAATCAACAAATACCTCAAAACCTGATGATGGTAAATTTCCAAAACTGTAACTGTTATGGCCACTAGCAGCACATATTTACTATTAGCTATGAAATAACTCATTACCTCTGGACTGAGGTATAGTATCCATCCAGTTTCATCATTTGGTCTCTTTGAGTAAATATTGTAGTATACAGTGTCTTTTATAAGAACTGCTGTGGCACGCAAGATAAAAGATGCAAATAAATTCATATGGATGTAGTTTCTTGTGCAGTGAAGTTTTCTGTGGGAGAAAAAATAATGTATGAATCCTCTGCAATATATTTAATTTGCAGAAATAAAATTTTAAAAAATCAACAAAAAAGTAACAAAACAGCTGTTGTATTCATATTGTTGTCATGAGTGGATTTTGCTTAGGAATTGCTTTTGTATTGCTTATTAGGAAAACAAGTTATTTACATAGAATCACAGAATAGTTTGGGTTGGAAGGGACCATAATCCCCTTCTCATTCCACCCCCTACCATGGTCAGGTACACCTTCCACTAGAACAGGTTGCTCCAAGGCCTGTCCAACCTGGCCTTGAACACTTCCAGGGATGGGGAGACCAGTTTCTGTGGATGACCTGTGCCACGGCCTAACAGGAATTTCTTCCTAATATCTAGTCTAAATATACCCTCTTCATCTTAAAGCCTTTTCCTGTCACTCCATGCCCTTGTCCAAAGTCCCTTTCCAGCATTTTTTGTAACCCCTTTAGGTACTGGAAGGCTGGAATGTACCAGAGCATTGCAATCTAAGTCATACATTCAATTACATAAAAAGGAGAATGTGTGTACAGGAGTCTGTACTTCTAAAATGCATGTAAATTTGTACTAACCTGAGTAAAGAAAGTATAAGCAGAGCTAATACAAGTGAGATCAGAGAAAAGTAATATCCTATAGTGTATAACAGCTGTAATATGGTAAGTAGTTTATGTTCTTCTTCCTAGAAACAAAGAAAAATATGTTATGTAGGCAGGCAGGCAGATCACAAACACAGCTCAGAAACTTTCATGTTCACCTTCGAGCTGCAAGGAGCCAGGGTAGAGTTCTTGTGCCTGCCCTCTGCACTGCCTTGTGAAACCAGTGTATGACAGAGACATTTGCAGCCAGCCTTAGTTTCTTTATAAATTCAAAAGCACTCTCAGACTCTTTTCAAATTTCTCCTGCACAAACACCATTCATAGTCTGAATCACAGCTACTCATTGCCATGATTCCATGCACCAAATAGATCCTGGTGGGTTAACAGTTGCAGAGATCAACACACTCAACCTGCACACACAAGTACACTTACTCTGTGTGTGGCCTGGAGACACAGTTATAGATCAGTTGTGCTGTACAATTTTGAGAGTTAGCTCTGTCGAGAGGTATTGAAATAGCCTGACTTCAGCCTCGAGTTCAAAGAAAAAAAATAAAAAATATTAAATTGGAGCTTTATAGAATGTCTTCAAGTGACAAATAAGACCCCAGAGGAGGAAGAAAAGCACTTACATTTTCATAGATTATCATAGAACATCCTGAGCTGAAAGGTACCCACAAGGAGTCCAAGTTCAGCTCCTGGCCCTGCACCACAAATTTCCTTCCAATTTACTTCATTTAACTTTTTTTTTTTTGCTAGGTTTTTCCATTTTAGCTGCTTATGTCTACCTCTCAACTATTCATACTCCTTTTCTAGCTCAATGAAAGCTTCTCTGCAGAGGGAATGTGAGATATATGCAATTTTCATAATCCATATCTGGTCTGCAGAGATTTTCTTGGAACCTGTGTCTTTTCCTCCGTGAGTTTGCTGTTTTTCTTGTTTTCCTTCTCAGCACCAGGGATTTTAGCACGGTCTTTCTGCTAGTAGTTGTCCTTAATGATTTTATGCTTGTGAGCTGGGCCTCTCGAAGAGGGTGAAAATGACCAGGCAGAGCAGTGTGGTTGCAGGAGATTCCCAGCCATTAGTCACTAAATAAACTGAAAGTTTATAAATTCATGTACTCACTATATAAAGAGCTTATGAAAAACTTAGTAGTTGTAGTGCCTGGAGATACTGAACTAATAGTGTTTCATTACTAATCAATAAAGCAATGTTACTAGATAAAGTAATAAACAGTACTCATCCAATAAAGTAAAAAATAACAGTGCTCATCTAAAAGATTAATTTTTACATCAGCTAAGCTGAATTCCATGGCAAAAGAAGTTTCCCCTCTGTTGACAAAGTCCAGCTCTTGGGCTGATGCAATACGGAAAATACAGGATGGAAGGCATCAGCACTAGAGAGAATCCTCCAGTCTCTGATCAGCTAAACTTGAAATGACCAATTAATGGTTCATTAAGTGCTAAAAGGCTTATTAAATGTTGAAGGGCTCAAGAGGAAGTTGTCTGAACTTGATAGACTATTATGATTTGTGGAGATGCTGGGATGTTTGCATTTATTTGCTTGACAGGTTGCAGTCTTTTTCTATTTTATTAGGGAAAAACAGCATATGTGAACACTAGACTCTGAAGAGAAAATAATTTGTGGCATCTAAAGCAGGAATCCCCTTCCTTAATATTTCCTCTTCTGCTGCTTCTAAATAAAATAACAGCTTTCCATTTGGTAATTTAAATGAAATTTGAACATTCATTTCAGGTATTCAGTGGAAATGTTTTGTCAGTTACTCAAGAAGGGATTAAGAAGATTAAAGTATTCAACCATAATATAAAACATACTTACTTTTTTTTTGAAATGATTTTGCTCAGAACATTCTGAACTATCTCGCCAAATGTCTGTGGAATTTTCCTTTGTTTGCCAAATCCCTTCATCCAAGCAGACTCTGTATACATGTCCTATGCTTCCTGAAAGTAAACAGAGGTTTAGTCAGAAAGATCAAAATAAAGATTTCATTTTTTCATACACGTTGGAAAGATTTCTTCCTTGTACCACCACAATAGATGCCACACCACCCCCACTCAAAAAAGCAATAAACTCCACTTTTCTTTTGTCTTGGACAATATATTTTCCATATTTACATAGGACAAAGTAGGAATGTAATCTAGTAGAAATAAATTCCCAGAAAGTACCTGATTTTTACAAACAACTCCACACAGTTACTACATCCAAAAAAAAAAAAAAAAAAAAAGCCTAAATCTCACTTTATTCTTTTTCCTCATTAAGCTCCTAAGCTCCATCAAATATGGGTAATTCATTGCCCAGGTTGTGCAGTCAAAACTGTAGGAGAATTTGATTAAGGAATAATATTTCCCTGTAACACCTGGTATGGTAAGTGTTGCAGGTTGGCGTTTCAGTTCTGTGCTACGGGGCCCCTTCAGCACCTGGAGTGAACTGGTGAATCTTTCTTGGTTTTCACTGCATTGTCCTAGTTTTTGTGAAAATTCAGACAGAAAAAGAGAAAAAAGAGTCTCTGTTACACGGAGGGAAGATGTTTTTGTGTTTATTGTGAAGAATTGGATCTGTTCTAAATTGTTGGCAGAAGCGGTTGTTTGGAAGATTAGATAGAAGCTTGGTCTCTTTCTGCTTATCAGCATAAAAAAGAATAAATGATATTAAAGAACAAACTATGTGTGGTGTGAGCTCGAGAAAGCTGAGATAAGCAACCTATAGTAGTCTCCCAAGTGTTAAAAAACTCAGGCAGAATTGGTCCCTCCAAGTGGTATTAGAAATGCAGCTAAGAAAGGCTGTGTAGCAGGATTCACAAATGCTGGTCTGTGGTGGTAGGAATAGCTTTTCATTTCTTTAGGAGAAATGTAATGTTGTTTGCTCTTCAACAATTTTGCTTCTGAAGATGTTTTTATTTTTCCCTTCTTAAGAACTTCCTTGCTCCACTCCTGCCAGGAAAACACTACTTGGAAGGCTTGTTTGTTCACCACATCACTTGCTGTTGATGTGCTATATCCTACTGGAGGGCTGACTGCTTGGTCTGCTGCTTGGTTTGGCTCTTACAGTTTTCTGGGAGAGAACTTCATGTCTGGGGGTCAGTGGGGACTCCAGAAGTTGAACTTCAGAAGCTGAGCCCCTGATCAGTTACTATCAATAAAGTCCTGACAATATCTTTATGTGACCTTGCCAATGTTGCTTTAGAGCAGACAATATGGAGATGTGGCAAGCACAAATGGAAAAAACAGCAAATAAACATCAACAATGATTTTGTACCTCAATTCAGAAAAGGGGTAGAAAGAGCCAAGAGAGCACTCAGACACTTCAGAGGACACAGGGACAAGGTAGACAAGCATCACCTGTCCTTTAGCTGGATTCCCAGTACAAACTCGAAGACAAGTTACCACTTTCACATTACCATTTTCCAACCATGGCAAATATGAAGGACAAGGAACAGAGACATTTCCTGGGGGTGAGTAAGGCCAGCAAACAAACTGATCGAATGTCCCATTGCAATGTATTCCTGGTGAGAGAAGCAAATAAAAGTTTTACAAAAAGCTGTCCAGACAATGGACAAACCAGTGTGCTGTTCCAGGTAACCTGCAAGCTACTCCAGAGTAACAAGATGTAGCAGATAAACATTGTGCATTCACTGTGCAGTGCTCCATGCACAGGGCAGAAACAGCTGCTGCCTTTCTTCCTTGGATCCACACAACAGCTGCAGGTTTTACACACTTTACTAAGAGATAAGGGTATTGCTCTTCACAGATACTGAGGTCAGACCTCACTGTGGTCTGTAACTTCCTCAAAAGGGGTAGTGGAGGGGCAGGCACTGATCTCTGATCTCTGTGACCAGTGACAGCACCTGAGGGAATGGCTGGAGCTGTGTCAGGGCAGGGTCAGGTTGGATCTCAGCAAAAGGTTCTTCCTCCAGAGGGTGGTGGGGCACTGGCCAGGCTCCCCAGGGCAGTGGGCACAGCACCAAGGCTGCCAGAGCTCAAGGAGCATTTGGACAATGCTCTCAGGGAGATCATGGGATTGTTGGGGTGTCATGGGCAGGGTCAGGGGTTGGATGGGATGATCCTTGTGGGTCCCTTCCAACTCAGGAAGTTCTATGTGTCTGTGATTTTACGAGATTATGATCCTGAGGCCTCTGTGGTCCAAATATAACAGTCAGATTCTGGGCATGCTATCACTCATTGGTTTTGGTACATGCAGCAGACTGGTAAATGGAAGATATTTCACCTTTCCCAAACCCTGTGACAACTGTTCTTAGCTCAGACCTCTGCCAGCTTCTCACAGTGACTTCTCTTAGACTTTAGGCAATACCTCATATTACAAGAGATATTAACAGAGGTGGTATCACTGGTAATATCTCAGACTAACTCAGTTTTAAGATTCATAGGTATCATATCACTCCCAGGACTTAAGGTAAAGATAAAACATTTGATAATGCAGAATTGAAATGGTGCAATCAGGTGACGGTAACAAAAAATAAAATGCATTAATGGTTTCCCTAGTGTCTTTCTTTTTGGGATACACTGAAGTTCTTCTCACTTAGCAAAAATATATTGTGTGCTATCTCACTAGCATATTTTGTGGGGTGCTTCTGCTCAAATACAGAGCACAGTATGTGCATTTTTACAAATTCCATTCTATCTTTGAGGCTCAACATCTGTGGCACCATCTGTGTTATGACCTGTGTAGCTGTTAACATTTACAGCTGCATTTTTATTATTCCTTTCCCCAATTTCTGATCAAGGTTTGTTCAAGTGTAGATTGGGTAGGTTGCCAGATAAATACCTCTTTTTTTTTTTTGATTTCATGAAAACTGGAGTTCTGAGTCCCCATAGTTCTCTTCATCACCTACTACAAACTACTTCCCTCTAATATCTTGCCAGGGTCATCTGGCTTAGTTGTAATTGCCACCAAAGACACCATTCTCTGCCTTCGCAGGAGAACATACTCTTCTTTTGCATCATGCTGAGGGTTTCTGCACACTAAGGTCACCACTGGTCATTGATCTCTAGCTGCTCACTACTCTTTCTCTTTCTTTCCTGTCAGTGTTAGTTGTAAACCATACTGTACGTGTACTGGTTGAGCTGATCTGTGCTTTGCTTCCCTTGCTTTTCAGAAAAACACTTGTCCTCTCTGCAGTCCTCACCACTTTCTTGCCTCTTTGACTGTAGTCACATAGTGTGTAACTTATGCAAGCTTCTTTCTCTGACCTTTCTGTGTTTTCTGTCCTATTTTCCACAGATGACTCTGACTTCTGACACATCCACCTCACCTCCTCATTTGGAGTCCCCATCAAATTTGGTGAGGGTGCTTTCAATACCTACCTATAGCCAGATTCACTTTTAATCTTTCCTTGGTGAACTGCAATCACCTCTCTCCCAGCTGCTTCTTGGACTTCTCCAACTACTGTAACCAAATCCTTTCTATCTTTTCTTTAAGACAAAACACCTAGCTGAGCCGAGTTTATACTCTACTGAGCAGAGTTTACACATGAGCAGAGTGAAAGAATGACAGATTATAAAATCCTTTTTTGCCAAACAGCATAAAACTTTGAGCACCTAACCAAAGGTGGGAGGTATGGACTCAGGACAAGACACTGTCCTCTGAAGCTATACTGCTCTTTATCCAAGAATCCAAGAGCCATAGACACAAGAGAATAAACAAGGGACATAAAGCTAATGTTTGTGTCAAGCGAACATGGGGAAACCTGGTTCTGTATCTCAGCTTATTATCCTAATGACTGTGTCCCAAAATGCACAAGCAGTCCTGTGAGAAGGTAGCAGCTCCTCAGCTGCCTTGACCAGGCAGAAAACAGACTCTGTCCTCTGTCATGTCCCAAGTGTTTTGAGTCCTTTTTTGCCATGGTTCAGGTTTCAAAGTACAGAAATGGGAGACATATTCTTTTCCCTGGGTGCTCTGTTCTCCTGTGGTTAGCATAGTTTCCAGGAATCAGGTTTGACTTCCTTCAGGCTGAAACAGGAAGTGAAAACTGGTCTTACCAGGTTCTTACAAAAAATGGCTAGCAGATACCTCTGGACCAGGCACTCAATGACACACCACAGTGGTATCATCTGTTCAATGTTTCCTTTCTTTATATGACCTGGTTTTATGTGTAGGAACCTAATATGTTTCAGGAATAAGAGAGCCATTAATTTCATGATTTGCATATTCATTTATGTTACTTAACATGATTCTTTATTGTGCTGTTTAATTCCTTACCAGTATCTATAGTTGATTCCTGTAGCATTTTCAAGCATTCCTGTTTATATTTATTCCATTCAGTAGTGGTTTTTTCCAGCAGAGATCCTTTGGCCTGGGAGTGAAAATACTGTACATGAGGAAAATCAGTTAGAGTCTTGTGGTCTTTAATGGCAGGATTCTTTCCATTATAAGAAATGTCAGAGAAGAGGAAAGAAGAGGACAGAGAGGACAATGGAGGGTAGATAAAAAGGGAGATAAAGACAGACATTCCTTCTCTGGAAATTATAGAATCGCAGAAACACAGAAAGCTTGGGGTTAGAAGGGAGATTAAAGATCATGTAGTTCCAACTCCCCATCATGGGCAGGGGCACCTTCCACTATTCCAGATTGCTCCAAACCCCGTCCAACCTGGCCTTGAACCCTTCCAGGGATGGGGCAGCCACAGCTTCTCTGGGCAACCTGTGCCAGGGCCTCACCACACTATTATTGAAATTTCTTCATTTGCTCTCTCTGCCCAAACAAGTAATGTATTGCCATAGTGCTATATTACCACATTTTTTTTTCAACTTCTGTAAAGTCCCTTTTAAAAAATCTACATGGACATTTAATTGCCAGGAATTGTGAGGGTGCACTAAAAATATTGTCATTTCATTCCTCTACTGTAGAAAATGTGTGCTGATCTTCACTAACTTCACAGTCTTTCTAGTCTTTTTATAGTTAACTTATGCCAAGGTCAGCCATGGATTTAGGTTTCTGCTAGTTCAATGCAGGAATCTGACTGACGACAATTTTGATGGCTGTTTATTTTTACAGTTTTTTAAAGATAATCAAGCACACCTGGTTGAGTAGTACAGAAAAAAAAAAAAGAAAAAAAAGAATATAAGAGTAATGAATAAGTTTTGTTATTTAACTACTACCACCTTTCCTCTGGTGTGTTCTGTACTCCTGTCCAGCATTTCAAAGACCACTTATTTCACTAGCAGCTGCACAATTGTGCCCTAGACATATTTCTTTTCCTCTTTTTTTATTTTTTTTTTAAGAAACACTTTTGTAAATTTTAGTTTTACTCTCCCATCTGCACCGTGCTGCCCTTTTTTGCCTGGACAGGACACTAATTTGCTTTCCTCTTGTGTCCATAGGTGAGAAGAGTCTTTGCCCTCAAGATTATCCATGTAATAAAATGGAGAATTGTTTTTCCCCTTTTCAAAATTTTCTCCATATAAAACATCTCACACAAATGGATTTTCTTATGTTCTGAACTTTTATAAGTACATTTATTTTCCTTTTTTCTTATTTGGGTTTTTTTTCTTTTTTAGGATGAGATGTTTTTGCATGGTTGGGGGGCTTTACTGGCGTTGGGGTTTTTTTGTTTTAGATATTTTCAATATCTAATGTTATATCTAATACCTTATATCAATATATAATATCTAGTATTACTATGTAATATCTATGTTTTAGATATTTTCAAAGCTGTTTTTTTCTACACCTTCCAGTCTGATCTTCCTCTTCCAGAGGAGATCAAGAATTTTTAAATTCTGAAAAGCTACATTTCTGAAGACAGTTTAATCTGGAATATGATATGTTGATGTGATCTGTTTAGAAAGAATAGAAATAAAAGCACCTCAAGAAAAATCTCCCTTTTAGTAGTGAAGCTTTGAAGACAGTCTTAACTTCGTATTTAGTCAGTCTAATGATAGCAGACTCTACTGAGTCCCTTCTGGAAGGCCACCATCCTGTGATTACAAGAGCAGTCTCCACTGCTTGGCTGCTCCTATGCTGGCAGGCTCCTGGCTCCAGGCTGTCATGGTTTAGGAATGGTATTTTCCAGTTTAGTACTCCCAATAAAACCATGAGCAACTTCCCCTCTCCTCTCTAACTGGAGGCATAAAGGCAAAGATCACAAGTTGAGATAAGAACAATTTACTGGAAACAGCAATGAGATAAGAAAGAGAACAGCAACACCATCAGTACTAAGGATAGAGGGTACAAGAGAAGAAATTACTCACATGGAAATCAACCACTGAAAACAGACAGTACCAAACCGGTCCTTCCTCCACATTTGCTTGACTGGAAGTAACCCCTTCCCCCTGGAAGAGAGTCCCTTCCCCCTCCCCCAGCAATGAGGTGAGGTGTCATGGAATAATCTCTTTGTCCCTACCATGGCTGGAACCAGAACACTTGCTCTGATTCTTTCTCTTTGCCTGCTCACCCTGTGCTGTGCTCTGGAATCTTCCGTGCCCAAACATGTTTAGCTGCTCCTAAAAGCAAGAACAATCCACCCTCAACCCACAAGGTCATACTGGGCCTATCACCCACTCTTTTCTTCTCTGGGTGAAGATGGGCTGAGACCGCAAGTAAAGCAAAAAAGGACATTGATGTCTGAACAGGTACTTGCTTTGACAGACAAATTCTGGCATGTTGCATGGGAGAGAGTTGCAGCATTTATAAGATGTGGATAACTCTGTGGCCACAGATGACAGGGCTTGAGGGGATTGTCAGTGCTGATTGATAAAGGGACTGAGAGTAGAGTCTTAGGAGCCCTGCTTGGATGTGCTGGCTTGAGTTACCCCCTTAGCACTGGGAAGCCTGTAGGCAGAAAGGAAAGAGACCTAGACATTAGCATGAAAAGGTGAAGTCAGGGATGTAAATCAACAGCTGCTAGCAGAGAGGAAAAAATTAAATTTATCTCCAATGATAAAATTAGTTCTGATATCAAATCTACTATACTCTTAAAAAAAAATTTAAATTCCCAGTTATAGGCAAATTTTAGTAATGATTTTATATACAGTGATTGAAATGTTTAGGACGGTGTCGACATCTGTGGCATATACCTTTAGCAATGTAAGGGTTGCAGTTTTCCCAAGGAGACTCTCATACTTTAACATACCCTCCCTAAATATATGGATATTCATATTTTCTGGCACATCTTTATCCTACAACACTGACTGCAGAGGCCTTTAAGAGGGCCATAGCTGATAATAACTGTTTAGAAAAGCAATGGCTAAAAATAGAAGAATTAAATGCAAAATTGATAATTTTGGTAGTTTGGTCTGATGAAGAAATGCCCAATTAGGATCCAAGCAGCAGAGAAAGGATAATGCTAGATGCTGCTTACAGTCCAATATTAGCACAATGACTTGATCATTTTTTATCCAGGGAAAAGAACACCAGCCTAAGAAGTCTCTGTGCAATGAGCACCCTGGTCTCCTGAAACCAGGGCTTTGAGAGGCCAGAGGCAGGCCAACAGTCAAAAAACACTGTCACTGTAAGTTACCGAAAATGAAAATTGAAATGAAAATTTAAAATGTTACCAATTGTAGTCAGTAAATTTTGGTGACCAAACCAAATGTAAGTTTTCTAAAACAATCCTTCTACCAAAAGAATGCTTTTCTGTTCTCCAGGAAAAATCAATTTCCTTTTGTCAGGACTAGACCCTTTTTTTTGAAACTACCTTTCCCACATGCATCGTTGTCCGGAACTTGTCTGAGCTTTGTGATGTGCTAAGGGCTGAGATTTATAACCAGAACAATGTATGGCTGTGAACTTCACCTGTATTTGTTCCTTTGAACCTATGGAGTGTTTTTTTTTTTAAAGAAAGAAAAGAAAACCATATTTATTTACTTTCAAAACAAGAACAATGGAGACTGTGAGCTAGGTCTTCCTTAGGACCACTATTTCATGCATGTTTTTACTGTGTAAAATGTTACCCACTCAGTGCTCTGCTTTTAGTCTCTCAGCTAATTTCCAGACATTCTACCTTAAGTTACAGGGAGTAGAAAGACTATAATTATTCTTCCTCTGATGGGCTTGTAAGATAAGGAGAGAATATTTACAACAGCCATGAGAAAGGAATGCATGTTTCCAAAATAAAAAGCATCTTGACATTTCCCTCATGCAGGCCTCAAAATGCTGGGAACCATGGGAGATTTTTCAGACACTCAGAGGTCGGTGAACCTCATTTGAAGAGGCAGAGACATGGAGATGATGCATTTGGAGACAGGACTTTAAGACAGTGTTTAAGGGAGAACACTTCAATTTCTGATAAACAAATGCATTAAACAGACAAGGAAATACAAAGAAAGCCTCACTGCTACATGACTGCTTGTTTGGTTCCATTCCTGGAGTCAAGGTTGACAGACAGTCGTGAAGAAGTTCACTCAACCACAGTGAGGAGCAGTTTAAGCCTAAATGAACCACATCACTTCCTTATGGAATTGTCCATTTCTTCTAAGCTGCAGGCATGGTCAGATAGCCAATACCTGGTCACTACTGATGTAAATACTTGTGAGTTGCTTGGTTTTCTACCATGAAACTTTCTCATGAAAAAACATCAAGTCTATGTAAAACCAGAGCTGCAGCTGAAAAAAAAGTTGAGCTGTCAGCTGATCTGAAAAATCAATTTTAAATATACTTAGAAGAACATATAAAAGATTTAAATTACTAATCAGAATGGAACAGGTTTCCTATAGCATCTGTGTATGCCCCACCTCTGGAAGCGTTTAAGGCCATGTTGGACAGGGTTTGGAGTGACTTGGTCTGGTGGAAGGTGTCCCTGGACATGGCAGGAGAAAATAAGGGTCATTTAGATCACAGAGAAACATGAATCCTTTGGCAGAGCATGCACCATGATAAACCTAATGCAATGTTTTGCTTGTAGGAGCCACAGTTGGAGGATATATGTCAGGACTTTTTGAAAATTTGTATTTAGCTGTAGAAATGAAGTTACATGAACCATCTGTTGAAAATCATAGAACCAGAGAATCAATTAGGCTGGAAAAGACCTCTGAGATGATCAAGTCTAACCTGTGACCAAATACCATCACGTTAACTAGACCATGGCACCGAGTGCCACATCCAGTCTTTCCTTAAACACCTCTGTGGACAGTGACTCTACCACTCCCTGGGCAGCCCATTCCAAAATCAAATCACCATTTCTGTGAAGAAATTCTTCCTACTGTCCTAAATGTTGCAGTACGGGGAAATATTGACATTTCTGGAGTTGTACATACAAGAGAGGATGTTGAGAAGGAGTACAGGACAACATTAATGAGTAGTACTTGCCCCTGGTGCAACTCCATCTGGATAATATGACTAAGTCTGATGGTCATACCTCAAAAGAAATCAGCAATTTATTTAGTTTGCTCAGAGTCCACAAACTGCACCAAGATGACACCTCTGTTTAAAAATATGTTGGAAGCAGCAGAAAGTGCTGCCTGAAGTTTTCATTTAGGAAATGGATTATATATGATTTGCAGACTGGTTTAAGTTTAAATTTTTCATAACTGACCACAGTATAATCAGGATTTCATGCTTTTAATTTTTTGTACTAAGCTACTGGTGAAATGAAATGTTTCTGTTTATTGAGACTAGGCTATAATGGACAGAAAAAAATCCTTCAGTGTATGTGTAAACTAGAAATAGAAGGTTAAATATTTTCTTATTCTTTCAGCCATGGTCCTGGTTTATTATTTTTCATATTTATAGAAGTTTTTGCTAGAAAATACAGATATAGTGATGTATGACTCTTATTCCTTTAAATTTTTCTTCCTTATGAAATAAAATATAAAGAAATATAGCACATATTTCTTTAAACAAGTTCCAAGAACCACTATGACAAAATAATTCACTATGATTTATAGTCTTGTGAAGTTTTGATCTCACAGAAGTACTTGGGAGATTTTCTATTAACATTGATGGAACCAGTGCTTTGGTCGAGGTGTTTCACAAGCCTAAGAGTTGTTTCAGTTCTATAAACAGAAGCTCCAAACAGAGAAGCCCCAGATTTGAATTATAGAAAAGCATTAGGAATATTTTCTTTTTAAAAAAATAAATTGAGTTTCCTGGTAGCTTTTTCTTCACAAAACAGCTAGAAACACAGTTATCAGCTCTCCAGCACATAGAGATGCAAACCCACTTCCTTAGAAAGTCAAAAGAATGGAGAAGGAGTGAATAGAAATACCTTATTGTTTTCAGTTTAGAGTAAATCTGTCGGTTGTGCTAATGCCTATATACACTCATTTCAAAGAAATGTACCCTAAATCTATATATGAATTTTATTCTGTTGAATTGAAATTTACCACATATTATTAATTATTTTGAAAATTTATTCAAATCAAGATTGATATTAATAAATAATGATTATTAAAAACCTACTTGAAAATTTCCTTGAAGTGAATTACACTGAGATGTTTTATCATTAAATACCTAAAATTCTTCCAAATTATAAGACAGTATAGAAGAAAGAAGTAAGAATTCGAATTTTTTTTATTTAGTAAAAAAAAAAAAAAGGAAATTAAGAGTTTAGTGGACCTCTACAAGAAATAAAGGTAGAACTCGTACACAGATTTACTAGCCCTCCGTAGGAGAGGGAGGTGCTGAATGAAACCAGTAATGCCACATTTCACAAATGGGAGATTCAATGCTCACCCCTCATACAAGAGAAAAGCTAAAAGGTAGTGTCAGAAACAAAGCAAAGCTGGTTTTAGAACAGAGTAAAAACAGTAGAAAATAAACATGATTCACAATAGTAATGATATCTGGTAGGAAAACTGAAAAACAAATATAATTCAATACTGATCAATCTTGGTAGGAAAAGAGATTATATAAATGGTTGTAAACACAATTTATTCACAGTGTGAATGAGTATTAATAGAAGTAAATTGTAATAAATGACCTAGTAGAATTGAGTTCTAATATAAAACTCTACAGCTTTGCAGCTAACATTTCTCATGACTAATTTGTAATAAAAATAAGTTGTTATATCAGAAGGATTTTTGAAACAAACATGCTGTTTGTGAAGGTTAAAATGTTATAAGGTAGAAATCTGCTTTCATACTGTCCATTATTAATTATTGAATTAGCTTACCTGTTTCACGAGAAAGAATATCATGACAGAGCTGGCAGATGTGGGAGATATTCTGGTCCAGAGTCCCATGCTGGAATCAAGACCAAAAAGTGTCACCATGCCCATTCTATTAAATTTGTCCCAGTATTTCACTCTACTGTAGGTCAATTTTTTCACTCTGTCTTGTACAAAAAAATAAAAATAAAAATAAAGTCTTCTTTTATGAGTGCCACTGTTCCATGAATCTTCTCTACAAATAAGTGAGGAAGTGTCCTAAACTGTCTAGGCTTGCCAGACTCCAACTACGTTTTGGTTTTTTCTGATTAAAGGCAGAGAGAGCTTACTTTAAACTTCACAGCAATTTTGCTTACTGTAGCTTGTCCATTAGCCAATAAGAAGTCAGAAAACTATTAAAACATTAAGGGGCTGATGCTGTTCCCTTGAAGCTCCATGGGAATTTTGCCAGTGGTTTTGCCAGAATGAAATCCAGCTCCATAAATTCACATGTATACTTACACACACGAAATCATTAAAAGATGTTTAAGAACACAAGAAAAACTTTTTGTAGGAAACTTGTTGACTCTAGTTGGTTGTTAGAAAGCAACTAAATAATAGCTGGGTTTATGCTTTCTGATCATGTTTTGTCAAATATGTTTTGCAAATGTGCAAACTGTTATGTTTTGTAAATATGCCAGTGCAGGATCAGGGAGAATCTAAATGTGCAAAAAAATTTGGGACCAGCAGTTAAAGTTTTACTACAATTATTGTGACATTTAGTGTTTTCTTCACAGCTTCAGTTGCCAGGTTGTAGAAACTGACAATGAATTTCAGTTTAAATTTTCAAAAAATTTTTCCAGTTGTCGAGAAACCCTGAATACATTAATAAATCTAGTTTTAGAGAATAAAATAATTTATAATACAATAATTTTAGGGTCTAGTTTATAATTGTCATATTTTGAGTTGGGAATATGGAGAGTCAAGAGGATGTTGTGTCATTTGTTTCCAAGAGAAATGAAACTTGTGGCTATTGAAGGATAGCTCGTGTCCTTTTCAGAATCAGAGAATCATAGAAGTGTTGTCCAAATGCTTCTGGAGCTCTGGCAGGGTTGGAGCCGTGATCATTTCCTGTTCCAGTGCTCAACCACCCTCTGGGGGAAGAACCTTTTCCTAATATCCAACCTAAACCTCCCCTGACACAGCTCCAGACATTTCCTCCAGTTCTGTCACTGGCACAGAGAGCAGAGATGAAGCTGCCTCTCTGCTGCCCCTCAGGAGGAAGCTGCAGACCCCAGTGAGGTTTGACCTCAGTCTCCTTCAGGCCAAACAACCCAAGCTCCCTCAGTAGCTCCTGATAAGGCTCCTCTGGGCTCTTCACCACCTTCATGTGGCGCTACCTTCAGGGCACTGCTGACTCATATTCAATTTGCTGTTGGTCAAGACCTCAAGGTGTGAGCAACATAGCTGGAGAACAGGCAGAGGTGTCACCCTGGGGCTGTGGAGGCCAGCAGGAGCTCAGTTTTCGAAGACAGACCTAGGCTAAACCCAAACGGTGTGGCAGATACACCCTGCAGCACACCCCATCAGCCTGACTGCCAGGGTGACCCCACTCCCTCCTCTACACATGTGACAAAACTCTCTTCTGCAGGAATCCAGGAGTGGGGAAGGGCGTGATGTACACCCATGTCTCATCTTTACATAAAGTCTGAATGTGGTAAAAAAAAAGAGTACCTGGACATGGGATGTGGAAGTGCTCTTCACAGTGGAAATGCATCCAGCCTACTCCAGCAGCCTGGTAGTTATGGGCCCCTTCCAACTCAGGACATTCCATGATTCTGTGATTCAGTGAGGGCATGAACTGCACTGCACCACTTGCATACAAGCATGCAAGTCCCCTCATTTTCTCCACTGATAGCTATCACTCAGCAGCTGAGTCTGTTCTTTAGTTATTGACATCTACGAGTTGTTGGTTTTTACATGCTCACTTCTTAAAATCATCAGAAGTTTAAACATGAAGGAACTCTGTGGTCCCTGTCTAGAATTAATGCTCCTCAGGACTAGGTCAGAGCAGGAGACCCACAGTATGTTGTAAGGCCACTAATACCACCTAGAAAGTGGTAAAGACAGAAGGTAGAGCTGAAGTTTGAATTTCTGAGCTACTGTTTACAGTTTTTACTAGAACACTGTAAGCAAGGAAAGTCATACTGCTGAATGCTCACCACAGCTGCCCACCCTTGTGCCCTCTCAACTTTGGCAAAAATTACTGCATATAACACTTTGAAGGAGGGTCCAGGTAATGAATTTGCTCCTCTCTTATTTTCTTTCTTTTTTCACAGTTTGACAAAACTAACCAATAAATGCTTGTGCAATATATTTCTCCTATTACATAGAGCATTCTTATATGAAGAATTGATTTGAAAGTTGTGGTACCAGCATTGCTAGGGCATGAGCAGAAAATTTTCTCCGTGAAACATCTTAGACTGCAGTTGTCAACCAGAAGGTATCAGTGGTTTCACAGGTCTCAAAATATGTTTGAATACAGCCATATGCAGATTATTTACAGGAAAAATAGATAAATGTGTAATCCTTTTAGGAGGACTTCCCTCCTTCATTCCCCTCATACTTGCTGTGCAGTTGATAAAGCTGTCCAGAAGCAGTGTCAATGCTCAGTGGATTCAGTGGTTCACAAATGTTACATCCTTGTGAAGATGCAGTAAGACAAATATGTAGAAAATAATAACTCCTGGCTCAATCTACATCTGACTTCAGGGTTGTGAGATTTGCTCTGCCTTTTTAGTCCAGACCTGCTTGGTCTTTCACTCTGTTGCTGGTCAGCCCTATAAACTGAGCTCTTCGTAACAACCTAAAGCAGGAATTTATCCTGTTCCTTTGAGTTTCATGAGGGGACTTATCTAGTCACATGCTTCTCCAACTCTGATATCTTTGGGTAGAGTTGTCTTAAAAATCCAAAAGATTTTCATTAAAAGATATACATGTAATTTCACTGTCCTCTGGTATCATTCTCCCCTATGGTGTGTGTTTTGACTTTACAGTTGTAAAATGAAATAGTCACTTACCAACACTCCTGCTCCTTTTGGTTCTTTGCATCACTTATTTGCATCATCAAACAGGCAGAAAAAACAATACATATAACATGTCAAGGTGGGACATGTTTCCTAGATGAAGAGAAAAGAAATGCTGTTCCAGAGAGAGCAGATGCACAGCCAAAATGAGAATAATTCAGCATTTTCTCTACTGTTTCACCTAACTTGGGCAAAACTTGTATTATGTGTTCATGGAGGCAGACTGGACAGCACCCAGGAACCTGTCAATAGCAAAGTCAGGTAACTTATGACTTTCATTTGTCACTGGTGGAACTTTCGACATTATGCATTTGCCTTTCCAGTGTTCTTGAGCAGTGCTGCAATGGCTGTGAAATGCTTAGCAACTGGCTTTAGCTCCTTAATAATTTCTTTACAGTAAGAGTCACAACTGTATTCAATTTAAACACTGTGTAACAGGAGCATTTATTTGTTTTATTTATTTCTTAGCTATGAAATATAAGGGTTCCATCAGTCTGACTCCATCTGCCAACCAAGGTAAAAAGGCATCATTTTTTGTATAAATAAAACTTTTCTGATTGCATCCTGGGGTACTTCCAATGCTTCTGTGTTCTGTGTATTTTTACTCCTGTGATTCGTGGGGCAAACTGTAATTTATTGCCCCTATTCCTCATATTTCTTTCACAACAAATTACTGCCAAACAACACTGTCCTACATCCTTAATCCTTCCTGCCACATGATTTCTGGTCATGCCTCTGCTCTCTGTCTTAACTCCTAAGCTGGTACAATTTTCTGAGAGGAATGAAGAATATGATGGTAAAGACGGGTAGGTGTTTCACCAGGCAGATAGATGCATAAATTTCTAAAAGGTTTTTTTCTAGAATAATTGCTAGTGCAGTCCTGGAGGATGCCAGCCTCATTCCCAGAGACAGACAGACGGCACAGAGCTTCAGCAGCATTTTCTCTCAGTTTTCTCTCCTTAGTCTTCTCTATTACAGCATTCAGTAGCAGTTACTGGTGTGAAGGGACAAGAAAAGTTGCCAAACCTTTCTGTACAGGAGAGAGCAAGGGGGATCTTTGCATCCGCTTCAACAGCCCTGATGCCAACAACAGCCAAGCTGTGCAGTATATTTGGGAGACAGGAGATGATAAATTCGTTGAGCGAAAGTTTCATGCTGGGATTTGGTATTCCTGTGAAGAAATGATAAATGAAGAAGGTGAGTAAAACCATGCAAATTTACTCAAGAAAGCAATCAGAGTTCTTCCTACTTAGTTGGTGTCCTCTTCTGATCTGCAGCATTATCATGTATGTATTTTGTTGTGCTCATATCCTTAAAAAGTTGCTCTTCTCTGGCAAAGGGGACCGTAGAGGGTACTGTCTAGTCAAGATTTTGTAACGAATTCTGCAAAGTACATTAGAGTGACAGGTTGTCTTTCTGGTTTAGTGATAGGTTGTGGTACAGATGAAGATTTATTTATTTTTTATTCTTTTAAACATAACAGTAAGTTAAATTACTTTAACAGGGAAGTGTTCCATTTTCCCTTAGTTAAAATGAACATACTTTCCTTAAATAATTGCTTCTGATCCTTGCTTTTATGGCAACATAAAAAGCACAAACTGACTTTTTTTGTTTTAAAAATCATTTGCACTATTAAATCTGTGGGATCTCAGTTATTTCCTGGATTTCCTCTTGACCACAAGTATTTCTACTTTCTTACTGTCATCTCACCTTTCATAAATCAAAGCAGAAGACGATTCTTTTCACCTTGATAAAACATGATTCAAAGACTTACCTGTCAAAAATGGTAGCATGTAATTGAGACTCACTCTGCATATGTAAATATCTGTAGAATGAAATTAGCTTGCAATTACAGAAACTTTCCAGTCAATTTTGGATCTTTGTATAAAGGGGATTGTTGGTTCAAGAATTCAAACATTTATTGTAAATCCAGATCAACACTAAGTTTTTCCCTTGCTGTCCTGATCACTGTACAAATGAAAACTAGAACAGAACTTCAGAGAAATCAAATCAGCTGTCACCTGTGCTATAAAATGCAAATATTTTCACAGTCACCTGTCCTGAAGATCCAGTTCTACCAGAAGGTCTTGTAAATTATGCAGTTTTAATGGGGTAAATTTCAAAGATCAGAGCAAACTACATGTCCAAAAGATACCTTTCAAGTGGTGATTGCTATGAATACCAGGTTGCGTAATTTGTGCATCTGCTATGACCAGTCCATATTTTCCAACTTGGTGCAGTTAGGAGCTCGAAAAAAACACCCAGCATTTCCAGAGCAGAGAGGAATTAATTCGAAGAGCTTTGTTCACAGCATCTGTGTGGGGCTCAGGGGGTCACGTGGGTTTGAAAATCAAAGCTTACAGAAAGAAATTGGAATGAAGCTTAGAAGTAATTTGAGTGAGCAGCAGCCTTGTTGCTGTAAGGACAGCAGCTCTCCTCTCACAGGGAAGATTGCACCCAGGTTGACAATCTTCCAAAGGAATTGATAATTTTCCTATTCTGGCTTTCACAGGTACCACCTTTTGGAACTCAGTTCATAGCCTTTCTCTGTCTTCTAGGCTCTGATTCCACCTTGAAAAAGCCTGTAAGGATTCTCTAGCTAAGCCCCAGGAGTAGATTGATGTACCAGGCACTCTGTGTACAAATATACATCAAAAATAGCTTTTCCTGATCGTCCCAGTTTCTGCTTTTCTGATAGATTTTGCATTTTCCTCTTTCTATTAATCTATTTCTTTAGATCATTACAGAATACAAAGTAATCCTGATTTTTTTTAGGTGAGAAATGTAGAAGCTTTATCAGTCTGACTCCAGCTTCTGATCGAGGTAGGTATGCATATTTTTTTGTGTAATCAAAACTTTCTTGATCACATTTACCAATATAAGTATTCTGCATTTTACTTTCAAAAATATTAGCTTTGATCCTACACAGATTTTTTTTTCCTTTATTTAGTTTTCCAACTTCAAAATGAGGTCCATATGACTTCAAATATCAATCTATGTCTTTTTGAAGACACATCATTTGAATATGAATTGCTTTTGAAATTACTTTGAATAAATTTGTAAATTTTGCACTCTTTTTCATCATAACTCCATATTCCCAGGCAAGAATTCTGTGGCCTGCACCACACAACTGAGAGGGCAGAGGGACAGGCAGTGTGTGAACATTCGCTCTTGTATGCTGAGGGGACTTGAGGGAGTTATGCTCTCTGATGACAGTCAGAATCTCCTCCCCATGCCTTGCAAAGAGCTGTGAGGAGACATTTCTATTCTCTTCCTCCAAAGAAGGACTCATATTCCCATAAAACATCCCTGCAGATGCTGTGAAGTGCCCCCTCCCTTGCCCAATCTCCAGTGTAAAAACAGTGTAAAAACTTGTCTGATTACACCAATCACTTTGCAAGTGGCTGATCCAGAAAAAAAAAAAAAAAGGCTTTCTTTCCAGGATACTGGGAGTGGAGTATTTTCCTGGATATGCAACTTCAGCCCCTTGGACAAGAAGAAATATTCAGTCTCTGAAGGCTAGTCTTCCTTCCACCTATTGCAGGTTGTCACTGAGTATTAATAATTCAAGAGTTTCATAGCATGAGAAAAAATATAAATGAGATATGGGTGTAGTCACACAGACATGGTCCTCAGAAATGATGGGTGTATTCTAGGCTCTGCCCTGAGAGATCCTCACAAGGAAAACTACTGTTGGACACAGTGGTGAAACTAACTCTGTGAACAGCACCAGCAAGCATCACAGGCACTGGCAGGTTAGACCTAGACAGCTAAATGTACCTAAACACCAAACTTAAAAGCTCTTCCTGGGCAGTGAAATCCTGTGTGGAAATAGGCTCCTGCCCTGCACAGGAGAAGAGCCATGTTGTGTTCTGCACATGCCTATGGTTGCTGTGTGCACAAAACTCAGCAGGCTCACTCTTCCTGAATTTATCACCTGTGGGTCTCATACGCAGGGATGATCACCGTTGGTCAGTGCATATGGAATGATGGTTCACTCACTAAAAGTGTTAAGATGCAAGTTCCACAGCTGGAGCAGCCAAAACTGTTGGGAAATGTAACATCTGGAGTTTCTAAAGAAAATCACGATTTTTTAATGAGACAAAGACTTTCTGGAGAAATAAACCTTGCCCAAGAATGCCCACACATAGCCTGGTCCAAGAATTTGATGTCTAAATGGCCAGTGAATCAAAGAAGTCCCACAGACATTGTCAAAGCCAGCAGTAGAGGTTATTCACCACACATTGTCTGCTATCCTAAATGGTGTCTAGTAGTCAAGGACGTATCTTAGCAATGTTTTGTTTTTAAGTTATGATAGTTTGTATATATCTTCATATGAAATGAATGTACTTGAATGTACAACCAATTGTGTCAGGACACATTTATTTGTTTTTTAAAAAGTTTAGGGAAGGTCATTTACCAGTTCTCGCTACTGTGAATCTGGCCTCCAGCTCCTGGCTGTGGGACATCAGCATGCCGAAGGTCAAACAGCTGGCTGAGAGACTTTAATGGCAGGATTAATTTCTTGCATAAGATGTAATTACCAGATATCCAAAAAGAGATGAATTAGCAGATAAGCAGAGAAATGAATCCCCTTGAAACCTGGAGAGTGCCTGGGCTCATGAAGGCTTCTCTGTCTGAAAATCAAAATCCTGTTTGGCAGAAAGTTAAGCCCATGGGGCAGATTTTATTTAATGACTAGACCCACAGGCAGTGTCCCTATGTGCATGACCTCACAGTTTGTTAGCTGGGTGACATGGTCCGCTGTTCCTGTACACTTCTCTTTGGACTCAAAACCATGACAGCTAGACAATTGGATAGTAATTCTTTTTATATTAACTTTGGTTCACTGTGATTTTAGGGTAGCTGCTGAGTATTAAACCATACTGCCCCATTTTATACTGTAAGCTTCTAAGTGTATAACAGGAACATGCAACTGCTCTTCCACTAAATGGCCAAGTCAGTAGAAGAAATTATAATTTAGGGTGTCCATTGACATTGAAGTCTTCCCATAGATCTTATCATGGCATCCTCACAGCCTTTGAACTTCTGTTTAATGTTGTATGAACTATATAAATGAAGAAGAAGG